AGAGGGGCCATCTCAAGATTTCAAGCCACAATCGAAGTAGATAATTTACTTTTCTTCCCACATTCTTCAGCATCCGTTCCCTATATGAAAGGGAAACTTCACTAGTTCTCCATAGATTTTACTTTCATAAGCTACAGCAATAACATGATGTATATATACAAAATATGGCAATAAACCTTGCAAACTGCAATACATGCCAAACCTTTCTTCTGTACCCCAATTTTGTCAGTAGAACAAACATGAGGATTTGAATTTTATTTATTTATTATTTTTTCCCCCATGTTGCAGAAAGAAAGAGCATATTCTGAAATTTTGAAAATGAAATTAAAGAATGCAAGAGCCAAGAACGTCATCTTGAAAACCCAGAAGATGGAGCTCACTGGCAAGCTAACTAAAACACAGATGGCAATTGATCAACTACAAAACATTCAGACCGAGACAGAGGCATCCCTCGACGAAAAGCAGGACCAAATCAATGTCCTGGCAGAGAAGGAAGATGAATTGATCAAAGCAAACACTCGAGTGGAAGAAATAACCGAGCTTCTGAAGCAAAAAGAGACGGAAATCGAAGAACTGAAACAAGAACTAAACAAAGTAAGCATAAGTAATGCAGCTGAAGTTAAGAGTGAACAGAATGAAGACACTCCAAAAGAAGAAACATGGGTGAAATTCCAAACTAACACAGATGAAGAACCTGAGAAAAATGGAGATGTTGCAACTTCAGACAACCATCAAAATGAGAATGAAACCACATCAGAGGCAGAAGAACACAAAGGAGAGCGAGAAGAAAGCAACAAGGAAAAAGAAGAAGTAACTGAAACGAGTCAAGAAAACACTACAGATGTTCAAGAGCACGTGAACGAGTTTAAAGATGATCAAGAAACTACGGCTACTCACGGTGTGGAACAAGAGATAAGTGAAGTTTCAGACAACAATCAAAAAGAGGGTCAAGAAAGCTCGTCAGATGTAAGAGAAGAGAACAAGGACGAAGAAGAGAGCAAGGAGGAAAATGAACTAGCTGAGAACAGCGAAACGAGTCAAGAAAGCACAACAGATGTTCAAGAGCTCCGTACCGAGTCTATAAATGATCAAGAATCTATGACCAACATGGAGCAAAAAGAAAATGTGGCCACTCAACATGATGGTGATGAAAACCAGGTAACTTCCAGAGACCAGATAAGTGATTCAAAAGGCAAGAAAAACAAAGGGAGAAGAAAGAACAGAGGTAAGGGTAGAAGACGGAGGAAATCCACCGCTAAGAAAGAAGTTTCTGAAGTTTCTCAGGATGACAGGAGTTCAAATAGTGAAGGCCAAAATTCAGAATTCATGGCAGAAGCTACAGAAGAAGGGAATGTTTCTAGCAACCAGCAATTGGAAAATGCGCAAAACCAAAATGATGATGGAGTCTCAAAAGTCCAAGAAGATGAGAGCTCTCGAGATGATAAGGCTAAGAGTGAGAACACTGATGATGAAACTGGGGCTCCTGCAGATTTTAACACAGAGAAAGAGAACAATGCTGAGGAAAACACAGAGAAAGAGAACAATGCTGAGAAAAAGGAAGAAACAGATGAAAATATGAGGTCCGTAGCAGAGCAATCCGATACTGGCAATGGTGCTGATGACAATCAGTCCCAAACATCAGAAAATATAAGTGATACAGATGATAGTTCCAGCACCAAAGAAAGAATAGAAGAGGAAGGAACAGAGCTTAAAGAAAATGAAACCAAAGAAGAGGAAGACGTGGAGCATAAAGAGAACGTACCAGATGGTAACAGCAATGACGACAACTTAGTTTAGAGATTGGACATCGGTATGTTGTCTAAAGTAATGTGATGCATTCAAATCTTCAATTGTTAGTTGTAGAACTGCTTATCAATAGTTAATATGAAAATGTCAAATGCATTGGAAGCATATAAAACCAGTAAACAAAGTGCAACAATTATTGTATTGGAATGAACATTAGGCATAAGTGACATCAATATTTCACATTTGCACTGCTTGTATTTTAGTGTAAGTCTTTAACGCATCTCCAGCGAAATGACTGTAGAGTAAGCGAGAAAGCCAAGCATGTAAGATTTGTTGATATGATTTTTGGGATGTGGATCCAATAATGTTCTTTGATTATTTTTTCCCCTTTTTCCCCCTTTGTTTCTTTCTCCTTTCTTGAACATTTGAAATGATATCATTGACTACATTATTCTACACCATTCATGCCCTATTATGCAAAAGAGACAAGAATATACAACCAATAACTAGCAAATTAGAATGATATATAGGAGTTTTAGGATAATCATCATTTTGATCAGCAAGATGACATTACAAGGGGTATCAATATTCATATCCATAAACCCACTCCAAAATTTGTAACGGAGTTTTATGGAACTCATTAAACTGGTATCTTGGGCAAACTCAAGAGAGAAAGCTTGCCTCACATTATAGTACTTACTGAAATCAGAAGAAAGAAAAGAAATCCTCAAATTATAATTGACACACGCTCCGCACAAACCTTGAATGATCACAATGAAAGACAACCATTTCATAGGTCACCCTACATTAATTATGATTTATTTTAAGACGCACACAGCTGAAAGGAAATTCTCTGTAGCCCAAACTACTCTGGTGCTTTGCTTCAGGTACAGTCTGCGACATGGAAGAAGGGATGGAAATAAATAATTTGAAATGAAACATTGAACTAAATAGCTATAATAGATGCAATGCTAAAACTCATGCCACAAGAAACCCTGAGTATAATCAATTACTTGATAAGAATTATCAGTAATGAACTAATGACCAATGGCTAGTGGATGCTTAAAGAGACCCACAAGTGAAACATCCATGTCATTATGTTTGTTGATACAATGCAAACCCAGATATTATCTAACAGCTACAAGTTAAGTGGCCACCAGAAGATGGGATGTACAAAAATTGGAGAAACATAGAAACGAGATGCATCTTGAATTATCAAGCTGCTTACTATTCCAAAATATAAATGATGCCAATAATTTCTAGGAAGATGCAGATTTAAGATCAGCAAACAAAAATGCCCATGATAAAAATATTCCTGGAAGGCATGCAGAACTTGACTAGTAGAGTAAAAGAGAACCATTTTGATGATGAATATAACTGAAAATCTATGTCGAGAAAGACATATCATTAAGCAAAAAATTCTTTTTTCAAGTACTGAACCACATCATACTTAAAAATGAAAGCTTGAAACTTGCGATTTAAAAAAAATTACCTCTTCTTTCTTTTCCTTCTTTCCACCGAAAAGCTTGTATCCTCCATAAATTAGCAACCCCCAACCACTTAAACTAGCAAGTACAAACTGCAAGAGAACAAACACCAAATAATTTTCGTAAATAATGCTTCAAGGATAAACAATAAACATAAATAGGACATGGCTTATAATACTTTTTAAAGCTATAATTTAGGCTCCAAGGCTTGAAGAGCATCAGATCAGAGCACCATTTCTATAGCAAAATTATTTTTTCCCATGTAATTCCTGGGGCGAATTAGTTGCAACAGATAATCTGCTACTCGACAATCAGGTCTGTGATGGTTTGAGGTTGAATAATTCAACTAGCATCTATCAAATTTGGTTTTGGATTTGATGGAGAAGATAACGTCTTATTTAAATAAGCCCCCTTTCTCGACTGAAGTAAGGGAAGGAAATATGTTCATGGTACTGAATAAATAAAAATATAAAGTTTGTAGTCAACCATCATTCTCAAGAAAAGGAAGAAAAAACAGTTTCGTTCAGTACTGCATCAGGCATCACTTGCTTTGATTTGGTCAGCAAATGTCAGGATACCTAAATGAGATGATTCCCTTAAACCCACGACATAAAGTCACAGCAATGGGAAATCATATGCAGAAAGTAATGAACGCCAAATTTCCCTGATAGCTGCCAAGTAATCTATGTACAGTATGGACAGATTGTTTGCCATTGCATTTATCTGAAACGCACCAAAAAGCATAATATGCTTACGTGGTAAAATGTAGAGTTTAACAAATAACCTAGCTCTCTCTATCTCTTTAGTCAAGAGTACATCTCGCATCATCATGGCTATCGCTATCAGTATCATTTTTTGCTCAATTCTATACAAAAGTAATGCATGTTGTACAACTCAATACCTTAGAACTTGACCAACAAACTGTTAAATTGAAATATAGGTTTGCTGTGAAATTACTACACGGGGAAATTACGATGAAGTTGTCATCTTAACATAGAACACAGAAAGTCACTTAACGGGTGACAAACAAATTTTGTCTCGACATCACACTTAACCTTTTAAGACAAAAAATATATTCAAGAGCCACCATTTCTATGTAAACCTGAATGGAAACAATCACTTATGTCTCCTCATCATTTCATTTTCCTAGGATGAAAATGTTGACAAATTAGATAAATTTAATTTTACATTAGTGATACAAGATACTACCAAGTGACCTAATTGCCAGTATAATAGATGAGTAAGCTTACAGTTTGACTATGCTATAATCTAATAACTAGGAAAACCCCAGAAAATTTATTGCTTGCAAAAATACAGTAGAACCCTAGGTTTCAACCAAAAAAACAAAAATACAAAAAAAAACCCAGAACTTTAGTGGTGCTAACTGCTAAATAACAAAGTTTACATGCTCTTCTTTCCACTTAGATGGCCCATGATGATCTGAGTGGCTGGGGGGGGGGAGGGGGGCAAACACAGAAGAAATTTTCAAAACAGCCTCAAACCATATTTTAATTTTTAAAACCGACCCGCTTTTTTTATTACCAAAATCGACTCATTTTTTACCACGTCAGCTTAATCTCATTTCCTAATTAGTCGGGGTTGCCAACCCCGACTATTTACGACATAAAAAATCGGGTTTAAGGCTTCAAATTAGGGTTTAACAACCTCCTAAATAGTCGGGTTGCCAACCCCGACTGTTTATAAATGAGATTAAGCTGATGTGGTAAAAAGTGGGTCAATTTTGGTAAAAAAAAATTGGGTCTGTTTTGAAAATTAAAACATGGTTTGAGGCTGTTTTGAAAATTTCTTCAAACAACATATAGTTTTCAAATATGCAATAAAGCTCTAGAGCTCCAAAGATTATGAAAACAGTGAAAGCTCCAAAAGTTATCTTTTACTCCATTATAAGCTATATTACTGCAATCAAATTATTAGAAAACAGAATGAATTGACCCGAGAATTTCAAAGGGTTCGCAGGAAAAGGGAAAAAGATCAAACCTGAAATCAAATTTCAGCGAAAAAAGAAAGGGGAAAAAATAGCTCATTACCTCCGCCGCCGGCCATTGAGCGACGAGAGATGAAACTGGAAGTGGAAGCGCGAGAAGATGATCGTGAGATGGCTGATGACGCAGTTAGGGCTAAAACCCTAGCTGATGCCATTTCTCGATGGAGGGAGAAATCAGAGAGAGTGAAGAAATGGAGGCGGCCCGAAGGCTGTCGTCTGAAAGGAGAGAAATTGGTGCGCAGCTATTCAAGCAGGAGGACTTTAATAGGGTTTCTTACAAATGAGCCCTCTACAATACTACATATATCTGTTTAGAACAATTTTTCAAAATCGACCCATTTAGTTTTTTATTTTTCAAAATCGACCGTTTTTTCTTTTATTTATCAAAACCGACCGGATTTTGTGATTAGCAGATTAATCACTATCCTAAATAGTCGGGGTTGGCAACCCCGACTATTTAGGATAGTGATTAACCTGCTAATCACAAAATCCGGTCGGTTTTGATAAATAAAAGAAAAAACGGTCGATTTTGAAAAATAAAAATCCGAATGAGTCTGTTTTGAAAAATTATTCTATCTGTTTAATATATACACAATGAAGCAATTTTAGTATGAGACCCATATTCTATGCAAGAATCCAAGATGCAAAAGTTGTGTCTTATTTATTTAAGAAAAGATTTTTTTCAGTACTAGTCCATAAAATTTTAATAAGTTGAAATTTGCCCTCGATTCTTGAGCTTACCATGAAATATCATTGTCACTGCAATCCCCAATTCTCATGATTAATTTTAAATAACTCATAAGAATTATGGAATTCGATAGCAATGATCCAAAAACTAATTTCAAAATATCAAATATCTAGAGCCTCAAGGGACTAATATAAGCAAGACTATGTACACAAATAACAAAATTTTTGGAGGGGCCAAAGCCCCTCTAAACTATATGTGGCTCCGCCATTGATTTCAAACATTTTGTGAAGCTCAACTTTGGGTTAGGATTCTTTTTTAACAATTGGAGAAGAAAAGAGCAGATACGTTTGGGATTTTTTTTAAGAGGCTGTTGGGTTACCGATTAAGAAATAAATTGGGGAACATAATAGAAGGTTAAGATGGTCACTTTCCCTCCAACCGTTAGATTTAACTCAACATTCTCCTCAAATCTAATGTGAATTAACTTGAACGGTTATTTTGCAAAAATCTTAATCACATCAAATTAAATCTTAATCACATCAAACTATAAGGGGTCTCCCCTTACAATAACATTAAGTAGTAACACCAATGTCTTTTACTTTTTTTTTCCTTCAAACCACCTTAAATTAGGTGAGCCTACATAAATCATATTTAAATTTTCAATTTATACACAAATTTTTTTAAAAGTGGATTGTGTTACAATCAACAGCATTTAACTTTTTAACTAATGGTGTGGTGGTTAACGCCACAAAACTCGTATTAGTTGATACAATCTTCGTCCAAAAGCTATTTTTTGTTTGGCAATAATTGGGCCAAATTTAAGCTTACTTTCTTTAGCTCAAAATTTAGCATCTAAACTAGTTCTCTATTGAACCACCTCCTTTACGGTCCAACTCTATCCTGGTTACCCAAAAACTAGTTCAAACTCAATCCTTTTTTGAAATTGCCAAACACATCCAAGAATCCAAAATTACCTTGAGAAATCTCACACCTAGGGCACATGACTATTTTTCTGTAGCGGAGAGGATCTGAATCCCATTCTACGTATAAATTTCCAGCTGATACAAGTCTAAAGTTCCATTTTATCTAGGTAAGCAAATATTTCATATCAATCTATATAAGATTTATCATGACAAACAACATCATATCAAATAAAGGAAAATACAGCAACAGCAACGACGACAACAAGAGGCACTCGCATCAGATCTTCAGGACTCAATAACAACGAAAGCCTGTAAATTAAACAAACTAAAAAGAAGAGATTATTGATCACCAGCAGCGGCAGAAGCAGTGAAGTAGCCTTCATGGGTCGGACGAACGCGAGCGTCATCATCTTTGCTCACCACATGAATCTTAACATTTTTGGACGATATTGCCATCAGGTCAATCCTCACCCTGAAGCACTGCGTCATGTGACGGTTAATGTCCCAGACGAGCTTGCCAGGTTCCTTCTGATTCATCTCTCGAGGAGAAACCTGCACAATCAAACTCTCCAGGTTCCTGCAGTTCGCCAGGAGGAAGTTCACCAGCTGCATCTCGTATCGGCCACCGCTGAATCTTTTAACCTTTATCGTCTTCAAATTTGCAAGATCACACAATATCGGGGCCTCGCTCATCATTATTTGCAACGGATTCTCCATGTAAGGATCATTCTTCTTGTTCGGAAGCTGCGGGGGAAAAAAAGTTGCGTATTTATGCATAAGATTATTATGTATTATTTTCAGGAAAATTTGTAATTATGAAAATTTAGTACGTACTAACCCGAATGAAGAGCTTTTCCAAGTTAGGACAGTAGCATAACTTGAAGAAATTGTAGATGTCCATGAGGTTTTCCTCGCTCAGACAAAACATACGGAGTTGTAGCTCTTTTAAGAATTGCAGGGATTCGAATTTCCAGATCACATTAGGGTCTGAAGTCATTATATGCTGATACAAACGTAGAGGGTAAGTACTCTAGAAAAAGAATATGTTAGCGCGTATTTGCAATCATAAATGCCAAAAAAAGAACCCAAAAATTTCTTCCTTTATGTCATGTTTTTTTGCATAAAGCAAGTATCATTTTTACTGAGTAAACAAGAGCCGATGTCTTCTTGAACTGTATTATGTTGTCATTATCAAGAAAAAGAAAGAGTGAGATTAATTAGTTCAAACTCTATAAATGTACAAATACCTGGAGGGAAGCACTGCATAGGGTCAAAACCCTGACACGTGGAAGCCCACGGACCGCCACGGCCCAGTTACTCGCCGGCGGCCCAAGATCCGGCCCGTTGGACGCCATGAAAACATCCTCCAGCTCCTCAACCCCCTTGAACGCAAACTCCTCGGCGAACCACCCCTTAAAATGGAACTTCTTGAGTATCTTGGACCTGACAGCGACCTCCTTCACCTTGTCGCACCCGACAACAGTCAGCGTCTCAATCTTTGATCCGATGACCACCACCCTCTTCAGGTCAGGGCATCTCCTAACGTCCAAAGTCCTCAGGATCTTGCAACTGGAGACCAGGATCCTGAAGGTGGTGTCGGTCAAATTGACGCCGTCGAGCTTCAAGATCTCGAGGCTTGAGAAGTTCTTGTAGTGGTGGGGAAGGCGAGGCAGCCTGAACCCGGCTTAAGGATAGTGCTTGAGAAGGAGGAGACGGTCGACGCGTGATGTCGAGTGCCAGCCTCGCCTGCGGAGGTGGGGCTCGTGCTTTCGGACGGGTCGAGTTGGAGGTCGGCGGACCACGGCGGGGGAGCGACGGTTGCGCGGAGGATGACGAGAGGGCGGAGGAGGGGGGGGCGGGAGGAGGGAGATTGGACCGGAGAGAAGAAGTTTTCGGAGGTCGATGAGGACGGTCGGAGAGCGGATCGGAGTAGGGTTGGACGGGGCTTACGGGCAGGTCCTCGGAGGGGGCATGGTGCAGCGCGATGGAGGCGTGTTGTTGGCCGCGCGGGGGCGGGTTGAAGAGGGACTTCAGAGGCCGGCCACTGGGAGGCATGAGGACGCCGGTTTGGATTGGCGAGGGGAGGGGGAGAGGAGAGGAGTGGAGCGTGAGGTCTTCGGGGAGGCGGTGAGGTGGTCGATGCCGTCGGCGGCGGTGTTGGGACTGCGGGGGAACCTGTCGAGGGGCTGAGGAGGGAGGAGGGGGGGGTTTGGGGGCCCTCTTTTCTCTTTTTGACAGGGGGTGAGGGGATAGGAAGAGAATCCATTTTCGAAAGTGAGGACGGGTGGGGGCGGGGGGCGGGGCGGGGGTTGGGGGGATGCGGGTGAGGTTTTTTGTTGTGGGCTTGGGAAAGAGAGGGTGGTGTTGGGGTGCTTTTAAATAGGGAACTGGAGGGGAAATAAGGAAGGGGTTTATGAGGAGAGGAGGGGGGGGGGTGGAGTGGCAAGTATGACTGAGGAATGTGCTTTGGGCATGATTTTTTTTTTTTTTTAGTTCAAAATTTATGGGCGGTTTTGTTATCTGGTTTTGGTTTATTTGATTGTTGATTGGTTGAGAGAAGGGAGTTTGAATTCCTGTTGTTTTTTTTTAAATTTGAAAATTCCGTTTATTTCTGACGCGCGAAACTGGTATTATATGCTGAACTCGACACGATCGAAGGTCGAAGTAGCCGTATTAGAAAGAAATTATTATATTTAATAAGAAATTATTATAATTAATTATTTCTTCATCTAGTCTGAAATAGCGATTATAAATTAAATTTCTTGAAAGAATGTGACGTGTAGCTTTATAATTAACTTTCTGGAAAGAATGTAACGCATTTGAGTTAAGAACATATAATAGTTTTTCTGGAAGATGATTTCAATATGACACATGTACAAGCAGGTCCCCCTGCGGATTTTTCGCCTTTTCCGGATAAATTGAGTTTGTGATATATTATCTTGGTTTAAAATTTAGAAATAATCTTATTATTTTCAGCTTGATATGGATAATTGGAAAGATGATTTGTACTCCTGAAGATGCATGAATTGAACTTGAGTAACTTTACAAACAGTTTTAAAGAGAGGGAGAACAGCTAAGAAACATTATCGCCAAATTTTTTTAGGGTTAGAGGATTTAGATTTGCATTTTGGATTCACTTCATGATATTGAAAATTGGGGTTTAGGCTAGTGAATATTACTTTTCTTTTTTGCCAAAACACACACTTGTGCGAGAAGAGAAGTGAAGGGAGCATGCATTTATTGATATAAAAGATTGAACAAATAATGATTATTTGCCATTTTAGTTAAGAACTGAACCACATTTTCTCTGCTGCGTTTTATAGAATTAAAAATTGAATTCTCTAATCAATTTTATTCGCTGTAGCCGGTTAATATTTATAGAATTTCCCCTGTTCATGAATCGTGGTATATATGTTAGTTAACCACTAATTAATGAAAGTTGAATGGCCCTCTTACGAAGAAAAATGTATGTACACAAGAGTGGCGCGTGCATTTCGTGACATCAAAAAGCTTATAAATTAATACAAATAGAGGCCGATTATGAGTCCGCAGAAAAAAAAAGGGGCGGGGGGAAGAGAATAAAAAAAGCTTGTAATATAAAAATAATTAAAATTTTAATATGAACGCCGTTGCCGGGGATCGAACCCGGGTCACCCGCGTGACAGGCGGGAATACTCACCACTATACTACAACGACTTGTTGATTTGCACAGCTCAACAAATCATACTAGTTTTATTTCCTATTTCCTAGAACTTTACGAGAGAGGCAAATTACATCACTAGATAGAAAATGTGGGAATATTAGCTTTTCTATTTGTTATCGCCAAAACTTCATTCCTGAGATGGTTCTGATATGATATATAATTTTTTTTTTTACTTTTAATTTATCAACCTGACAAAGGACTTAATCCTCTTCTCATCATTTCCTTTGATACAATACATAATACATTGAGCCCTGCGTAACATAAATATTTATGTTAAGGAGCTAACATGTAAATCTTCCTACGTTATTCAATTTTAAACTTCCTAAGCTTCAAGAACTAAACCAACGCTAGCTGCTTATGACCTGATGCTGGGTTTGTGCTAAAATACTAATAAATACAACACATCACATGAGAACATAATACTAAATCACATTGACAGGAGCTTTGGTTTACTATTGCTCGATTTAAATTCATAAACAGCTTCAACCAACTATGCTTCCAAATACAAAAGATGTTATCATAGGGTACTAATTGCTTGAGATACATTTACAAGTCATACATCTAAAAAAAAGTTAAAATTATAAAAACACGTATATACAAGTATCTATGCATTCTTTTCCAACTTTAGAAGCAAGCGTCTACTGATCATCGGAAAGCAACCATCTCAAGTAGTTGGCTCCATCACTGATAGCAGAATCTTGACCAAGCGGAGCCACTCTCTTTCGCTTAAGCATTTCGATTGAAAAATCCTTTCTTTTCCGGCCACCCCTTGGCTGTGATCGCCACCGCTCATCAGCTTCCACAAAGTCACCCTGCAAAAAAATATAATCAAATAAATTTAGGAACTATTGATATCTAAAGAAACAAAAAATGACTTGCATGCAAATAAGAAAAGAATCAAACAACTGTAAGTGAAACTCTTTGAAAAATAGTCTGCTAGAATTCATTGGATTTCCCTAGGAACGTGATATGAAAATGCTAACCAACAAGTTTGAAAACAAGTGTAGTCAGTAGTAAACAACGAAATTGGGTATACTTTCTGAACCTTAGGTATCTATGCAAAACAAATAGCTTACTTCTGATGAAGGGGGTAGATCCATTTGTGAAAATGCTAACCAACAAGTTTCAAAACAAGTAGTGTAATCAGTAGTAAATAGTGAATTTGGGTAGATTTTCCGAGCCATAGATGTATATGCAAAACAAAGAGTTTACTTCTAATGAAGGGAATAGATCCATTTGAAGGGAAAATATTGAATAGGATTATATGAACGCTTAAACCTACCATCACCGAGATCATTAATATATGAGTTCTATGACTAGGCTAACATGAGGTCTTTGAATGGTAAACTGGGAAATTGTAAGGTTGCAGGTTCAATAATAGACTACACATTGTGGTTTCATATAAAATGGATAAAAATGGAGGTAAGCTGCTCAGTAGTCACTACCCAATGGGTAGTTGGTACACCAAGTGAAGAATAATCCTGAATCAGCTCACTAATTCCCACGGCTCACTGTAGTGTACTAATCCAATGCCAGATGGTCATTGGCGCGACATCAATCAGGTAGACAAGGACCACTGAATAATTCCTCATAATTGGAGAAGCAGGCGATGGCTTAACATTGATCAATCTAATGGTTACACATCTCAAATTGATACGACAAAAAAATGACTAAAGCTGCAGCTGGTAATTCTTTCTACTACGTGAAACATAAGAAATGGCCATGAAGTTCCAACTTACCAGCACATGAACATGAGCACCAGACTTCTCATGATTATCCCTGACGTGTTTGTATGGGAACTTTTGACCACATCCTGAGATTCGACAAGGGAATGGCCGGAGCTCGTCATGTACAGCTTTTACATGCTTATTAAGGTTTGATCTCTGAGAATAGATGCAATACAAATTGAAATTACTGTCAGATTTGGAAGATGTGTGATACCGAATAAAGAATTGTAATGTTTAACAGAAGCTGATCTTTGAGACAAACCAAAGATAAAAAATTCAAAATAGAGTTATAAATTCTAAATAACAGTGTTAAATTAATAAACATCTATGAGAAATGTTCTTATGTTCCAATCATAAATTTTTATATACATCATATCTCTTTAAGGTAGCAAAGACACTGACGAATATTTTTTAAAAGAAATCAGCCTACTTTCATTGAGACATTCATGGTTATAGGATATAAATCCTCCATGTCAGATCAAGCTCAAGCATCCCCCTGTTGTTTCTACTCAACATAAGTTTAAAGAGGAAAATTCAGTCTATTTATAAGTATTTGAGTTCTCAGCCCCACCAAGCAGTTTGTAAGAAGAAATACACAAAAAGAAATCAGCCTACTTTTACTGGGCCATTCATGGTTATAGGCTATAAATCCGTCATGTCAGATCAAGCTCAAGCTTCTCCCTTTGGTTTCTACTCATCATAAGTTTACAGAGGAAAATTCAGAGTCTATTTATAGGTATTTGAGTTCAGGTTCTCAGCCCCTCCAAGCACTTTTTAAAAATAAATAAACAAAAAGGCCTAGCAAACCATGAGAAATTAGCTCAGCTAAGGCACTACTATGTCAATTCATACCAAATAACATACAAAAGTATCTTTAAGGAGAGAGAACAATACACCTCGATATCTAAGTAAATGTTTTGACCTCTACAATTGTATAATTTGAGAAGTGAAGACGCTTGCCAGTGTTAAGTAAATGAAGTAATGAAATACTTATGAATTTTTTGAACCTTACATTTGAGAATGTATACTGGCAACCCTCAAAGCTGCACCTAATCCTCTCAGCCTCACCACTGCCTTCATGAATGCGCAGGTGCCGTTTCAAGTTTTTCTTGAGCTGTTGAGTCCCACAGATCTCACACACAACATATTGGTGACAGGACTGCACATGGGCTCTCAGGCAGTAAGAATCAGTGAATTTCTTCAGACAGCCTTGCTCACCACAAATGACCTCCACATAATCCAATTTAACTGTCAATATAAATAAAAAAACAAGTTGAGTAAACACGAGAAGTGGAAATTTTCATATAATTTTTCATATTGCTAAATTACTAAACGTCAAGCAAATAGTTACTATTGCCAAATCACTAAACTAATCTTAAAATATAAATACAGAAAACACAGAACCAGTATCGTCAGGTCATAATTACGTTAACAGGTTTACAGACACCCTTTGACCGTAACAGGAAGCCATTTAGTAGTAAGAAGCATTTGATGGCCAGGCGCAACTTACCATGTGAATCCTCGTGCTTCCTCAACCTTGATGCATACTTGAACATCTTCCCACATCCAACTTCAGGGCAAACATATTGTTTTTCACCTTCAGAAGAAGACTCTTCATCATGCATTTCTTTCACATGCCTTGTCATATTTCCTTGAAAGGCAAACCTTTTGTTGCAGTTTTCTATGGGACAATCAAATAGTTTTCCTAGGTGCAAGAGTAAATGTCGAGTCAGATGGTCTTTCCTTCTGTAGTTCAAATGGCAATCCTCCACTGGGCAACTAAAAGGCCTCTGTGATAGAAGAAATATTAGTTAAAGTTAGCATATAGCAGTAAATCGATTCCTGATATAAGGTGGACAGCAAAACCAAAATGTGGCGAGAATATCATATATCAAAGAGTACAATCGTATGATGCAACTGAACAGCTAAAAGACAAATAATACAAAGAGGTTGGAAGTAGTCAGAAGAAAATATACTTGTGAAGTATTTCATATACACAATAGATATAAGACTAACTGACTAAGAACTTGAATTCACAGAAGGATTTCTCTTTAACTCATCTAAAGAACTTACAATGAGATGGATACTTGTTGCATTAGTGCATTGTTTCCAACCAATTACTGGAATGTCAAAGATAAAATAATAAACTATACTCTTGTCTGTGATAACTAGTGGCATAGTAAAACAGAAAGGAATGTTCGATGCAATGCAAAAGTGATGCAAATTCAGCCATATTATAGCAAGGAAATTAATATAATGCTACTAGAAAGTAAAAAAAGAAGTCACAAAGGCAAACCTCATAGGATGGCAAGGCGTGATCCGAGGCTTTCTTGATGGAGCTTCTCAGGAGGTCACCCCACCTGATACTGGTCCATTCAAGATGAAAAATCCTGCCTCTTCGCATTTTGGAGTTCTTTATGGGATCCAATGCTTCACACTTTATCCATAGTGTTTGAACACCAAAGTGCAAATCATAAACCTATATGCCTGCAAAATCCTTTTTTTTAAATCTCAGCAGTTGATGTAGAGAATAACAAAGACAGTTAGTATAAGGAAAAGTCAAATTCCAAATCAATAAGTTTCCCTTCTCAGAACAAGGTTTCAATTACGATGACCAGAAATCAATAGAATAAGTTTTGAGGTCTTAAAATAATGAAGAGGAAAAAAAATGTCATCCGTAAGTTATTACATTTGATGTCAACCAAGATGGAAATAAGTATGTTTTATATTCCTCTAACTTCAAGATAAACCGCACAACTTGATCATTATAAGTTATTCGATGGCAAACTATCCACATGCAACCAGTAGGGCACGGTGGCAAATAATACAGCAAACCCTCTACTTACTCAAATAGAAAATTTCAAATAAAACCAAGCAAGCTTTAGATATACATAGCTAGCACAAAATTATTTAAGCCACAGGCAAAAAGATACAAAAATCTGCAGTTAACAGTCTGAAAGCAGTAATCACCTCGAGAGAGTGACCCTGCATGTGTTGTTTCAGATAAGCAGGTTTAGTAAAACTTGCATCGCATTCTTCACAGGTGTACTGCACCTTGCCTGCGTTCTTTTCTGAATCATTTTTCTCAGCTTCTGGCCCCTTGACTTCATCCTGAAATATTGTATTATATCAAAAATTAAATGAAATGCAACAGCTTGAACAATTGTAACTTCAACGCTTAATGTCAAATAAAGACTAATTTCTCGCTGTGTTTTTTTTATTTTTATGAAACATAAAAATACCCTGATTCGTTTTTAAAAACACCTACTTTCAATATCATTCTTAAACCCAAAATACCCATACTAGAATTATTTTCAAATTCTAGCTTCTGTTTAATTTTATTGTGTTGATGTCTAAGTTGCGGACTTCCGGTGATTGGTCGTCTAACATGTCCTGATTGGGTTTAAAAATAATTGGCTATGGGTGCTCTGCGTTTTAAAATGATTTTGGAAGACGAGCGAGTTTAAAAATAAACTAAGGTAAATAAAAATGTGAATATGATTAGAAGTCACTAGATTAAACTCAAACAATGCCCCAAATCATTAAAAAAATTATCGCCGTGATAAGATTTTGGTTAGCTCGTTGTATGTAAAGATCTCAGCTTTTCACTTGAGTTAACTGTATGGAATTTGTAAAAGCAAACTTTATCGAAAATCAAATCAAATCAATACCTGATGATGGGTGAGGACGTGAGATCTAATGAGGGACTTCTTCGACCTACAAATTCCACAGTACTCGCAGTAATACCGCCTAATATCCCTAAAAATTGGTTTTTTAATCTCTCCTCTTTCATCCTCAGCACTGCGACTTTCCATCTGAGTACAGGACAAATCAAACTATACAATTCAATAACAAAAATGGAAAACAACGGTAGCATAACGACAAAGGAATTGACATTACCTCGTGACCAGTCACCGATGTCGGCGACGAATCGGTCATCGCTCGCGGTGACGATCTGAGAAAATTAGGGTTTCTTCCGTCGGCGGCGCGAAAATGAGGCGGAGTAAAAAGAAGCGCAAACCTAGGGTTTTTAAAGACCTTTTACGGGAGGACACGTGGCTAAGAGAGCAGCTGGCTCCACTCTGGGCGATCGGATCCGCTTTTGCGGGCCGAATCCGTTGGGTTCGGGTCAATGGTAATATCCAACGCGGTGGAATACTGCACCTTTTCTTTCTTCTTCTTCTTCTTCTTTTTTTAAGGAAGAATAATGCACTTTTGATGTAGGATTGTTTTACATCCTGTTCAGGCTGTTCTCAATGGTATTGTGTAATTATGCCATCTGAGCTATCTACTATCTATTATTTTTTTTCAAGTTAAAAGCAATATATCTTAACAATACTTTTCATGCTATAATAAACACTATTCTTGTAATATTATATAGCAAAATATTTATGATTTCTATGAAATATTGTTTATGCTACAGTAAATCTTTTTGTCGTTAGCTGCTCTTTATGCTACAGTACTGTTTTGATCTTATCCCTTGTCGAGGATGAAGTAAATTTTTTAGCATCGAAGACACCGTTTATATCTAATCTTCTTTGTAGTAGCAAATGATAATTTTAACATTTATCAGACATTTGGCAAATATAAAATTTTCTCTAACTCTACTAACAAAATTGATGAATTTTGCTAACTAATATATTATTTTGTTAACCATTTTGGAGATTCGCTCCGTAAATAGTAGGGCAAATTTTCATTTCCCACCAAATTTAAACTTTATTTAGCATTTTCGACCTATCTACACTTAATTATCAATTTCGACCTAGTTGCAGCCACCTAGCTGAAACTGAGTTGAAATTAATAAATAAGTGGAAAAAACTACACGAGATTGAAGTTTAACAGAACATTAAACTACATGGGATTCTTAATTCCGCATAGGCTAGAATTATGCTAAACTTCACGGGATTGTGAAGTTTGTAACAAACAACCTGTACAAAACTAACAATTCCATGCAAGAGGCTTAGTGGTTACAACATTAGTCTATTCATGGTTGGCAAGCGCAGAGTTCCAATCCCAGGCTAGTAAATTTTTTTACTGTTCAACAGAAAAAACATGTCCGGATATTGAACTCCCCATACATTACAGTAACTAAGTGCTATTTAGCCCAAGTAAAACTAGGAGTAAGTAAATGGTCGGTTCAGTCCCTTTTCACAAAGTACGATAAAAAGTGAATTGAACCGTTATATATATGAAACTGGACTGACCGAAATTATTTTGATACAAAAGGAAGATGTACACTAAGAAATCAGTGAAAATTGGAAAATCATGAATAAAAGAACAATACAAATTAATTAAAACATTAATAATTTTAAGGAAAAAACATTTATGGACCAATTGAGAGAGTGGTTGGTTCGATTTCATCATATCGAATTTTTGTCAAATTGAGCTGACCGAAACATATTTCAAAACTGAATCGGAAATTTAGTAGGTTCGATCGGTTTAATGAGTTCAAACCGATTAATGCCCACCCTAGTTGAAATGGTTCGTTCAGTCAGTTTTAACTATTTTTCGTCAAAATAACTGAACCAATCTAGAATCACAACCAAACCGAACTGAGTCAAATATATTCTGCGCTATTCAATTCGGCTTGTGCAATTTGGGCTTAGACACGTAAAGTTAGAGAATTTTTAGTTAGCTAAAAGACATGACTATTATTCCTTCAAACCTTTCACTCATCTCATATTCCAAGCCAAAGAGAAAACTCATCAAGTCAACGAATTTACAATCTAAAACGAAGATTGAGATGCATTAATTGTTATACCCTGCAAATAAAGAAGCGTTGATCTTTCTTGGGGAGCAAACACACGTCTCGCTCCATGCCAGATCAGACATGATCAGAGCTCAAACGACTCAAACTGCTCCTGTGGCCGACTCCATAGGCCGACAACTTACATGACTAGCTCCAAAGGCGGTACTTACCGACCTACCTGTCAGATCGAGCACACATGCCTCCACACTCGGCCCACTATCTCAACCGACAACTCTCGATACCGACTAAAAAGGTAGTTCTTGTCGTCTCACTCGCAAAACGAGTCAAGAGGCGGTGCGTCCTCGAACTCCACACCAACGACCGCCCCTCCTCATCACTCAACAACCCATCTCGATCATCCTCACATCCAATCAATGGTGACTCACCCACTTTAACCTTTGACACCAGTAGAGACATCTGCCGAGTCAGCTGCCTATCTATACTCGGCCAAAGTTACCTCGATGTCCTTCTAACCAGCTATAAAAAGAAGCTGCGCTGCATGAGGTGACTTATTCTGTTTTCATGCAACTTTGAATTCCTCTTATTCACTTACTTCTTATTTTCCCACTCAAGTTCACATGCTAACTTGATCGTCGGAGGAACAACCGGAGAACCCAACCCCAGCTTCTCACGAGCTTGTTATGTGCAGAAGAGAACATCAAGCTTCATCACCAGACATGTAAAGAAGCTTGAGTACCCTAACCCAACACTGATCTCTAACTAAACCCCCTGTTTGATAACCGACATCAACAGTATTAATATTAATTACTTATACATTCGAAAGAGCATAAAAGTTCAGTCGTTTAGATTTCGAATATTATAAAACCTAATCTAGCTGAAGTTGTTCTAGAACCGAACAGAACCTTAAAAGTCGGTTAAAAAAAACACTATAAATAGAACCAACATCTCTCAGTCCCACCCATCTTCCTGAAGCTCGACCCGCAAAGCCCCATGTCATCGTCCGGCAAGCAGCACCATCCACCTCCGGAACCCGACGCTGAGCCGGGTCCGGCGGCGAAGCGGGAGCAGCACCATCCACCTCCGGAACCCGACGCTGAGCCGGGTCCGGCGGCGAAGCGGGCCCGACCCGAACCTGCGACCGGTTCGCCCAAACCGCCCGATTCGCTCCGAGTAGCCCTCAATCCGGCTGACTGCGATCTAGGTACCGTACCAATCTCCGCGTCCCATAATTCTCCAGAGTTTTATACTTCTCATTTTCTGTCTAGGGTTATAGAAGTTAGAACGCTGCGTTATTTGGGGATTTTTTTGCGTTATGCGTTGATTTTGTTCTAGGGTTTTAATATCATCTTTGTTTTTTTTTTTGGGGAATTTTTTGTCATAAAATTACTCCTTGTTGCGCAGTGATTCAGCGTCGATAAGGAAAATTTTGAAAATTCGGAGAAAGTTAGGATAAAAGGGGGTTGCTTCTGAAATTTGGAAAAAGTTTCGGTTTTGTTGTTTGCATTGAAGTCTGTTTGGAATTTCATTTTTTTTTTCCGAGTGAAAAAAGTGTTATAGTATTACTATTTCTCAGTTTGGGCACAGAAAGGATATGAGTGTGTTTCACACTTTTGTTGTCAACATTGTTCCTGAATCTGGAGGTTTGATCCCTGGTTGCACAAGTTTAAACTTAAACTTAAACTTCATGATTAAGCACCAAGGACCAGAATCTCGATATCAGTCTCGGGCTATAATTATTTGGTGTTGGAGCAGTTTTAGTAATTTCAGATTGTTAGCGTCGGTTGGATTTTTTCGGTATTGACAGCTTAACTGTTTTCGCATGTCTTTATGTATAGTTATTGATGCAATCTCTTTAAATGAACCTATATAGGAATGGTTTCCAAGTAGATTCGAATGTTTTGTCCCATCATGGTGTATCTCTGCATGTGAGCTAGTCATCAGGCTTTTGTGAACCCCGAGTTGTGCTCCAATAGCCAACGTCAATTCTCTGGACATAATGGTGATTAATTTGATATTCTTGTACCGACTATTTTCTCTTGAACTAAGATTCAGGTCAGAAGCTCGCCCACTGATTTAATTGGTTGTTGCCTGTTAAGAATTTTGTTTGTTTATTGGTTAACGTTCTTCTGTGTGTGCATGAGTTGTCAGTTGTGCATAATATGGCAGCTACAATGGAATGAATTTGTGTGAATATGAGTTTTTCTTAAATAAACAGTAATGTTAATACTTATATTTCTGGCTGATTTTTTTTTTCTTCAGATTTTGATATTGGTGGGAACGGCCTTCGAGGGCATGGACTTCATGAACAAGGATTTGCCTATTGTTGGTCTGGTGCTCGAGCTAATGTTGGGATAAGAAGAGGAAAATATTGCTTTGGTTGTAAAATTGTCTCAGAGCAAGTTGTTGACTTGGTGGATACTCCATCTGATCAGCAACACGTGGCTCGTGTTGGAATCTCAAGAGGGGATGACCCTGTTGGAAACCTGGGAGAAACCCTGCATAGTTTTGGGTTTGGCGGTACAGGGAAATACTCAAATGCGAGGAAGTTTACAGATTATGGTGAAAATTTTGGTGTAGGTGATACAATTGTTTGTTGTGTAGACCTCGAGAGTAGGCCCCTAGCAACAATTGGGTTCTCCAAGAATGGGAAATGGTTGGGTATTGCTTCACAATTTGATGCAAGTTCACGGGGCCTTTGTGTGGTTGACACTCCTGTAAAAGACCTACCCTGGGAATCTGCATTATTTCCACACGTGCTACTGAAAAATGTGGTAGTTCAGCTCCAGTTTAGTGTCGAGGATGGATTGATTCCTGAAGAAGGCTTTAAGCCATGGAATTGTGCTACTGGAGAAGGAAATGCTATACTTGGGCCGTCATTTTCCAGTCCTGAAGAATGTGAGGTCTTGATGATGGTTGGGCTACCAGCATCTGGGAAAACTACATGGGCAGAGAAATGGGTGAAGGAACATCCAGAAAAAAGATATGTTATACTTGGAACAAACCTTGCTTTGGATCAGATGAAGGTTTGTGCTTTAACATCAGATAGATGTTCCTTTCTGCAATTTATGTAATTTTTTCCCTTTCTATTAGTTGAACTTTCTCAGGAATAGATATTTGGCTATTGATGACGAGTTCCGTCCAGGTACCAGGACTGATACGAAAACATAATTATGGTGAGCGTTTCGAGCGCCTGATGGACCGCGCCACCGGAATATTCAATACATTGTTAACGCAAGCTTCTAAGACACGGCGGAATTACATTCTTGATCAGACAAATGTGTACAAGAGTGCTCGTAATCGCAAATTAAAGGCATTTGTAAATTACCGCAAGGTGAGCCCGGAGTCATGAGCTTTTGTCCTTTATGAGAATTTATAGCCATAAGTTTCAAGCATTGCCATTTTGGAGTGTTTTCTGTCCTCCTGTAGTACTTAACAGTTAGACTGTTAATTGTTTTCGCCAACTTTAAAATCGTAGGTGTCAAGAGCGGCTGTCTTTTCTTGTCCATAATTAATTTAACGTTACCCTCAATATATGTCAGTTTAGATAAAATGATTCACCCTTGCATCCCTCTTCTGGTCAAACTAAGATAGTAAAGTTTCTCCACATAACTTCCCTGATGAAATTATTTTTCACAAACTACTTGCTAAGTAAATCAGAAAGAAAATAAATTAAGTTCCTTTTCTTTAAGGGTCACAGCATGTTAAATATGTGGTGTAGTGGATCCCCATGGTTTTTATATTTAATGTTAGAACTTTTAGTTGTCCAAATTCAACTATTATTGATCTCGTTACGAGTACTAATTCCTGAATTGTCATATCTTGTGCTGCAAAGATTGCGGTTGTTGTATTTCCAACACCTAATGAGTTAAAGTGTCGAGCTGAGAAGCGGTTTAAAGAGATGGGGAAAGAAGTACCTCAAGATGCAGTGAATGAGATGCTAGGTATTTATCAGCTCGCCCCGCAACTTGTGATTTTTAAGGCACCAAAATTTCAAATTATAGTTTTTTCTGAGTTTGTTTTATTGTTTGTCAGCCAACTATGTTTTACCAGCAAGTAAAGACATGCCTCGTTCAAATGAGGTTTTCGATGAGGTAGTTGCTAAGCATTCAAGTGCTACCCTGTCGTGCATTTCATTTTATTTTCTAGACTGCCTCAGTGACATGCTTCATTGTTCAAGGTTATATTTACTGAACTAGGGAGAGAGGAGGCACAAAGGCACTTAGATGAAATGAAGTGCGAACTGAGATCTGCTTCTAATTTGACCGCAAAGCCTAATTTCTCACCAAATTCTCGTGCAAGCTCCGTCCAATCATTTTCCTGTCCAGTGTTCATGAATAAAGGAGTTACTCCAGGTTTCTACCCTGAAACTTTTTTGTTTGTTTGTTTGTTTAGGATTCATGTCCTGATCATTATATTATATTTTATGACAATATTCCAGCATTAATATTAACTGCTGAACGACTATCATGTGATGTACCCTTATGCAGCTGTTGGAGGACATTGGCCATATCATCAATCGGCATCCATCTTTCCCCATCATGATAATCTGAGTCCCCTACAAGTAAGTCATGATTAAAGTTTTTTGTATATTATTATTTAGAAATTTGATTTATTATAAATTCAATATCTTACCTTTCGGATGTGACCGCAAATGCATATAATCTTAAATTATTGCTTCCGGTTGATAATAATTGCAGGCTCATTTAACTCATTTATGTATGTGCTAATTTATTTACATGTTACGAATGAGGGGCTAGATATGAATGCTTGAGTTATTTAGCTTAACCCTCCTCTATGCTTTCCTTTGATGTCATTTTTTGTATCTCCATATTTGTAGCAGTTATAAACTGACACGTTTTCTGTACAGGTTAACCCATCATATCCATCACCTGATTCTTTTGTTGATAACCAGGCAAGGTTAGGTGAAGCTATTCCCCATCTTCCGAATAATAGCTCATATAATCATTATTCAAAGAATGATACAACTGCATACCAAAGAGATGGTTTTGATCCTTATAAGCGCTCTACCGACTCCGGTCCTTATATGAGAAATGCCTCTGAAAGGAGTTTCTCATCCATTGCTGATGCAGACCCTTATCGATCGTACAGAGCAACAGATAACTCCACAAGGCTGAGCTTTGAGAGTTCGAGATCTATGGGGATAGCTGGTCATGGGTATCGATCAGATCCACCCTCTTATAGCAGTCCTGGTGCACATCTTCATGATCCCAGAGTTCAGCAAGTTCCTCAAGATGGATTTGGAAGACCAAGATTTGAAAGTTCCAGCCCTATTGGCAGGCCTTACTACAACTATCCTTTAGATCCTCCACCATCATATAGCAGTCCAAGTCCACACCCGCACATGCCAAGAGTTTCTCCACTCGAACGCAATGTTTCAAGGTCACCATATGAGTGGAGTAACTCTCATCAAACGACATATGGTATGATTCTGCGTGTTTACTCTTTTTATTTTTCAATGAAAACTTAAAAGAGTGGTTGGGTTAAATAGAAGGTTGACCACATATTGGAAAGTCACATTGAAAAATAATTGGAAAGCGGAGGGTGTCACATTGGCATTTTTAACTCTTTTCACGGTCCCCTAATTATCGAGAAAATGGATGAAAAGTAGACGGAAAGTGAATGGAGGGGAGAGGAATTAATTTTCCATTCTCTGTCCTTATCACTTCGCCTGTAAATGTTCACATTCCATTGTTCTCTTTCCGTGATAACCAAATAGAACATAGATAAAAAAGGATGTCACATTAACTGCAGTTTTCTACCTCTTCACTTTCTGTCATCCAAACAAGTTTTTAAATTGAAGGTAATTCTCTCTGCTTCTTTACTTCCCATTTACTTCTGGGTTGCCAAACGCGCCTTAATGTATAGCTATGAAGCTTGCAACGTCTAACAGTTGGGAGGTTTTTGCATATTTCCACTGCTAAATATCTGTGTGCTCCATTGTTTTTGTATTAAGCTTTTTTTATTTTACTATTTTTTATTTTACTAATTTTAACAAAATGAGATCGTTTTTGTTTGTACTCTTTTTGTCTGGCTACTGCAATGAATTTATAATAAATGCAAGTTGTATGCATTAAATTATCAGAACATAAAAATCTGAAGTACCATTCACATGTTCGGTATATTCCCCCGACCCCGCCCCCGCCCAGAGAGAAGAAGGGAAAAAAAAGGGAAGCTTTAACTAATGCCTTCTAGGCTAACATGTATGTTGAGCTATCTCGACATGAGTAATAACCGAGCTGCCATCTTTTAGCAAAACTTTTCCTATCGCTTATCATTCAATCATGTACTGCCTCGAGAATTTCCAAATATACTGAGCTTCATTTTGATCTTCTGCAGGTTCGCCTTACGGGCCTCCTGCACCTAGGCCTCCATCTGGGACGCCTCCAGCAATGAACCACCCTCATGGTTCATGGTATCGCTGACGACAATCAAGGACGCAACTTTGCACGTGATCTCACCGTGCAAAGTTCTGATTGACAAATGAGATGTTCGAAACTTTACATAACCAATGTTGCGTCAGGATGTGTGTATATGGTGAACTCTGAACCTGATACTTTGTAATGCGGTATGTGCGCTTGTTGAACATTTATCATGATGATTCTTGTTGTTCATATTGCATTTGTAATGCAGTGTATGCGCCGGTGGTGAGAAATAAGAGGATAAAACTCAAGGTGGATTACCTTTCTTGTTGAATGCACCTGAAAAAATTACTGGGGTTTAAACATGGTACACAAGGAAGTAAAGTAATATGTATTTTTCTGAATAACTTGTGAATTTATAGTAATATTGAACAACTCAAAGCCAAAGGTGATAAAAAATGCAAGTAGATAAATCTCCCAGCATATGGCAGGATTCCCTTTAGGCAAAAATAGTGATTTTACACGAATTAAATTTGAAAAACAATACCATGTTTAAATATCGGTCAAATTTTCAAAACCGTTTTTTTTCAAAATTATTAGCAAAAAACGACATCTTTCAAAAGTATTTGTCAAAACTGACCTGGTTTTAGCCATCGGGCTGAAACCAGATCGGTTTTGGCAAAAAAAGTTTCCAAATTTCACGAGACTTGAAGTCCCGTGAAGTTTAGCAGCTTAATTAAATGGCTGTTAAACTTCACGGGATTTCAAATCCTGTGAAGTTTTAAAGTATTTTCCGTCCGTTGTTTTAGCCCGACGGCTGAAACTAGATCGGTTTTGACAATAATTTTCAAATGAGGTCGTTTTTTAGGAATATTTTGTAAATGAGATTGTTTTGAAATTTTTTCCTTAAATATCAAAACTAAAAAGGACGGGTCTTGAAGTAAACAGTCATGCAAACTAACAGGGGGAGGGGGCACGTGGCCCCCAAACCTCCCTCTCTCCTGCCAGTGGTTGGACTTACAAATGTATTTATGATACCATGTAGTTTTTTAACCCCCCTTCGTTGCAACACTTTTTACTTTGAGCACGGTTCGAAATCCGAAGTTAAACTATGGAATTTTCCGAGAGGACTAGCAACTCTAACCATTGGCTCTATTTTGGAGTCCCCGCTAAAGCATATTCTAAGGAATATGCCAAAATAGAGCTTTGCAACTCCAACCACACTCCTTCATTTTCAACTCCGTTTCAATTTCTCTCCATTTAACAATTCTTTTTCACATTTCTAAATTTCAATGTATTTTCAATATATTATAAATTAATACTAAAATTTTCTAATGCATTTTCATTTTTAATTACTTGTTTTTTTGGAATTTTATATTTTAATTAATATTATTCAATATTAGTCTCATTTTGAAGGTATCGATAAGATATTTCCAACTGTAAAATTTTTTATTTAAAAATAATTAGTAGAAATAATATGTTAATTTTAAATTACTAGTTACTAATTAAAAAGGATATAGAAATAATAAGTAATTGTTTGTAAAATATTAAAAGGGCAAAGTGGGTATTTAGAAAAATTTGCGGCCACCTGTGAATTTTGGGGGGAAGGCTGCATATTTGTAGCACCATTCCCCGGAGATGGAGGACTTCGGGGGCTGCAGCCCCGTTGGAGAGAGAAGCTCTAAGGAATGGGTGGAGGAGCACCGTGAAGTTTCAAAGAGGGTTGCACTGGTAAAAAATCGAAACTCAAATTAGAACAATCCTGAGCGTTTCGTTCTCAAAATCAAATGGGGGTGGGGCTTTGTTCTTGAAATCAAATGTCTATTTCAAATTTAAAATTCAAGAGTTGATTAGAATAAAAGTTTTAAGCTTGTTATTTGCAAAAAAAAAAAAGAGTATGGCGGAAGAAAAGGTTTTGTGCGGTGAGCGTGGATCGAACACGCGACCTTCAGATCTTCAGTCTGACGCTCTCCCAACTGAGCTATCCCCGCATGTTTGAAGAAGCCACTTTAAGAGAAGATAGGAATTATCCCGATGTCCAGTTTTTAACCGTTGGATCCCATGATCTAGGGTTAGCGTTTCTTCAAACAGCGATAAAGGGGCGCCCCTCCCGTATCTCTCTAGGGTTTCAGGGGCCAATTCTGAAGTCAATTGTCAAAAATATCGGGGCGTTATATATCCCCGATCTGAAGGTAAAGCTTCTGCCCTTTAGATTTTCACCGTCAAAATTAAATTTTGACACGGGTTCACATTATTCGGTAAAAAAAAGTTGAAATTTGATGCTATTGTTATTATTATTTTTGGTAAATAGTGAAAACGTGTTTGCTGTGATGAGAAAAATAACAGCTTTAAACGCCAGTTCTGCTTCTGATAATTCCTGATTGAGAAAGCTGATATTAGCCTGAGCCTGATGATATTTGTAATTCTATTTTGGGTCATGAAATGATCAGTTCGTTTTTTTTTTGTTGCTTTAATCGCTAAATTTGGTATAGATTTCTATTGCCAGTGATGATATGGCCAATTTTTTGAGGCGCAGGCAGTTCCAAGTCCCTTGTTTTACGAGGAGAACCTACTTGTAGCTCCTACGTTCAAATGATATTATTGGCATTACTGAGGCATTAATAAAATATTAGAGATCACTAATCTTGGATTTTCAGTACCTAATTGTGTAATTTGGGGCTTTGGAAGGCTAAATCCTGAAATATGTTGACCAATCTGCTTAATTTAACAATCAATTAGTCCCTCAGAACTCCATCTTTTTGCCTTGTTGGGAAGAATTCCCAGCTTTTGCATTTGATAGTCAAAATAACAATTAGACTTTTATTTTTATGAATAACGTTGGTTTGCAAATTCCTTGCTTGATACTTTACGATAGTATGGAAATAGCTCGGAGCTCGTAGTTTAGATGCCAGTACTTTTTTTTTGTTTAGGGGCTGTTTAGTTGTTTTACGGAAAAAATCGGAAATGGAAAACTCACATTTCAACTCATTTCAAGAGATTTCAAGATATTTTCCGCACTTCTTATTTTTGTTTGTTTCGCAATGAAATCACTGTCACATCACATAAGAAACAAATGCAGCCTCAATAGTAACATTGTTTCGATTTTCATTTCTTGTGTTTGTTTGAACATAAAGAAAGGAAATGAAAATTAGCTGTAATAGTACTGTATTTTCAGCAATTAAATAATCTGTTTTATTTACAGTCACTGTTTTAACAGTGTTTTTAGTAATTAAAAATTCATTGAAGTGATATTTTCAAGTGTTTTCAGAAGTTTTTGGTGTGAAAACACTTTTTTCAAATATCTGACGTGACATACTACGTGATACCCTTATTTTTTTAAATTACAAAACGAAACAAACATATGATTTGGAAATCGGTTGAAACTAAAATGCTACGTTGGCAGGGGGCATTTCTTGAAATCTGGCTTGGCATGGGGTTTTCTCATTTTTTTTAGGGGCTGTTTGGTTCGCTATTATAAGGGGTGGAAAACTCAGATAACCCCTACACATCAGATTTTTAGCCCTCCACGTCAGCTTTTTTGTTTCCGTCCATTTTTTTGTGTCGTTTTGGTTCGCTCGAATGGAAGAGGGAAAACTCTGCTTTAATCGCCGCCAACTAAGATTTTTTTCCCTCTCCGATTTTCTTCCCCAACCAAGTGAAATTGATAAAAACTTTGCCACGTCAGATTTTTTTCCTTCTCAGCTTTGTTTACCAAAGTTTTCCTATTTTTTCTATGCGAACCAAACACAAGAAAAATAAATACATTGGTTTCCCACCATTTTTTACGTGCGAACCAAAGCAAAACAATCTATTTATTGGAAAAATTTGGAAAACTCAAAACTTATGTTTCTTTACATGGAATTGCATTTCTCTATATCAAGGAAACGAACCAAACAGCCCCTTAGCAAACAAACAGCCAATGGAGAACATACTCAGAGTTTCTTCTACATCCAAATGGAATTTTCTAAGGTTTGTGTTTAGCGAGTGGTGTTTTTGTTTTGCAAAGCGGAGTGTTGTGTAACCAAGCCCCTGAAAAGGGGGAACCTGCTCAAAAAATTCGGTTCGAAGTCATTTTTTCCCGTACATTTACGTTTAGGGGCTGTTTGGTTCGTTTTTTAACTCGGTGGAAAAGTTTTTTACACCGCCTCCACATCAGATTTTTCGTGGTCACGTAGGATATAAGTTTTCCGTAGGTTTTTTTTTCTTATCTTTGATTCGCTAGGGTTGAAGAAGGGAAACTCGGCGAAAATCGCCGCCACATCAAATTTTTTTCTCTCCCCTAATTCCTTCCTCAACCTCGTGAAATCGACGAAAACTGCTGCCACATCAGCTTTTTGCCATATAAACAAAAGTTTTTCCTTTTTTTCCATGCGAACCAAACACAAGAAATACAAAAGTTTTTCCTTTTTTTCCATGCGAACCAAACACAAGAAAAATAAATACATTGGTTTCCCACCATTTTTTACGTGCGAACCAAAGCAAAACAATCTATTTATTGGAAAAATTTGGAAAACTCAAAACTTATGTTTCTTTACATGGAATTGCATTTCTCTATATCAAGGAAACGAACCAAACAGCCCCTTAGCAAACAAACAGCCAATGGAGAACATACTCAGAGTTTCTTCTACATCCAAATGGAATTTTCTAAGGTTTGTGTTTAGCGAGTGGTGTTTTTGTTTTGCAAAGCGGAGTGTTGTGTAACCAAGCCCCTGAAAAGGGGGAACCTGCTCAAAAAATTCGGTTCGAAGTCATTTTTTCCCGTACATTTACGTTTAGGGGCTGTTTGGTTCGTTTTTTAACTCGGTGGAAAAGTTTTTTACACCGCCTCCACATCAGATTTTTCGTGGTCACGTAGGATATAAGTTTTCCGTAGGTTTTTTTTTCTTATCTTTGATTCGCTAGGGTTGAAGAAGGGAAACTCGGCGAAAATCGCCGCCACATCAAATTTTTTTCTCTCCCCTAATTCCTTCCTCAACCTCGTGAAATCGACGAAAACTGCTGCCACATCAGCTTTTTGCCATATAAACAAAAGTTTTTCCTTTTTTTCCATGCGAACCAAACACAAGAAAAATAAATACATTGGTTTCCCACCATTTTTTTTGTGCGAACCAAAGCGAACTAATCTATTTATTGGAAAAGTTTGAAAAACTCAAAACTTGTGTTTTTGTACATGGAAATGCATTTCCCTATATATATGAAACAAACCAAACAGCCCTAATATTTTTTCTTTAATTTTTAAAGGATTTTGTGTCACGCTGAGTTTTAGTTTATAACTATCCTCCTGCGAAACAAAACGCAATGTGCGCTTGGAGGCTGGAAAAACTCAGCAAAGATCTTGTCGTCGTCTATCAGCTTCTTCTCTTGTTCCTCACGAGTTTGGAGTTAAATAACGGCGCTACATTTCTCATTATTTTCATGTAAACATGTATCATTTTTTTCTTCTAGTAGCTTGATATTCATGACAGGTAACAATTCGAAAGATAAAAGCATCTGCTCTTTGCTTGCTGAAGGTTTGGTGCTTTTTTTTCCTGAGAATAAAGGTTTGGTGCGTTTTTATCATCTGCAATCCTCAATTTGCTTTTGCGGAATTGTCGATCTTGAGAAAAAAAAAATTACGTAATACATTTTTACAGACTTTTCTAGGAATTGAAAGTGAAATTGATTTGTACCGGTCGAAAGGTTATTTCCTTGAATGAAGCCATTGCTTATCTTCGTTCGTGTCGGTTGAGGATATGGTGCTTATTTCCAAGTTATTTTCATGTGCCGCATTAGATTTGTGCTTATTTCTAAAGCACTTCCGGAAGAGCATGTTATGACTACTTTGGGCATATAATTCATTTGGCTTATGATTCACAAATGGATTATAACAAATAAATTATAAGCAAAAGTGTTTTGATAAATTTAGTGGATTATAATTCATTTTTCATAGTAGAGAGTCTGGAAATTGGGTGGCTTATATGAGTCTTTGTTGTTGTCAGAATGATCAAATTTTTTTTTAATGTTGTTGGAGATAAATATGGCGCGAAATTGGTTGAAGAAATGAGGGGTATTTTGGTCTTCTACTCGGTAATATAGAAAACTTCCACACCCAAGCTTTAAGATTTTATTAGAAAAAATCTATGTAATTTTGAGATTTAAACAGAATATGTACTTATTACTGTAGCTTTTTTTTTTGTTTTTGTTTTTTGTTACTTAGCCTTATTTGACTGTTGAAGGAGATTAAGTTGCATAGAGGAGTATTTTCGTGCTAATAGACTTCTTTTGACACAGTTAATAATATTCTAATTGACAACTTAGATATTTAAGTGCCACATTTTACAGATTAGGGTATTTAAATGTAAAGATTGTAAAACAATAGGGTATTTAAGTGCCATCTAGCGTTTATTATTCCGTGTTTATTTTTTTCAGTTAATAAATTTTCTGAAAATGTGGCTTAGTTATTAATGTTCTTTTTTATGATGATCCAAGTTAATTATGCTGTCAGTTAGTGTGATACCATGCGCAAATCTTTATTTATTTGTCAAATTTTGTTTCTCGCTCTAACTTATAACTTTAATCCCCCCCCGGCCCGGGGCGAGATCTCTTCGAAACATTGATCAAGAGCATTGAAAAAAAGAACATTAAAAGGAAAAGAGAGGTGTTGGATTAGCGCCACCCGATCAACCTCCGTTTCGTGTGGTTGCTGGCTTCTTCACACGAACATAGGCGGCCTACAAATGGGAGGCTGTAGACTTGTAGTCAGCATCACGTTTTCTTAAAGCTAATAAACCACGAGCGTCGCATGAAGCCCATCTCGGGGACCCACATTTATAGAGAGGTGTTCTTAATGGGTGAGGCTGGTGGGTTTAGAATTTGGCCTCATCCTTTTCGCGGCTCCAGCAATGAGGTTCCCAGTCACATGGAAGGTTTGCTGGTTATAAAGTCAAAGGAACATTCTCATGTGTTATCGTCAATTAATTGAAGTCTTGGACAAAAATAAAATGATAAATACACTACTTGCTTTTTTGTGGTAGCACCTTAATTTGGACATAATTTTAGTATGATATATAAAAGTGTGTTGCTACAGGGACCTCAAATAGGGGACGCAAAGGGGGATACGTGAGTTGTCTTCCCCTGAATGCATGATGCATTATTACATGAACAGTACATCATGCATTCAGGTGGACACCTCACATGTCTCCCCTTGGTCCCCTATTTGGGAACCCCGAGTTATTTTTGTATATAAAATGATAAATTCACACCCACTCAAGAAAAAAAAATTGTTCGATGTAGAGATGCAACTTTTCTTCATCCATTCCCATCCAATAATAAAGAGAAGATGATCGCACCAAAGGAATAAAAAATAAAAACAAGCGTGATAATATCAGTCTCGCCTTCTTAATTAAAAAAAGACATGTTTACTTAACATAAGCAAACGATAAGTACGCAGCCCATAATCCCATGTCTTAAGATCCATAAACAAAACAGAAAGGAGTCAACAATCAACAAACAGACACCAAACACCCCCTTAAAAGTAAACGAGAAAACGAAAAAAAAGACCGCCACAAATCTCTCTCTCTCTCTCTAGATCTCGTCGCCGGCGTCGCCATGAGATTCGCCGCCTTCTTCTTCGACCGAACTTCGCGCGCTCTCACCAACCGCCCTTTCATCGTTCTCATCGCCGCTGCTAGGTACCTCTCTCTTTCTCGATCTCTCCTCGATTTGATCTGATCGCTCCGCGAGATCGCAAAGATTTGTGAAATTTGGCGGGAGTAGCGCCTACATGTGCTCAAACCTTACTTATTTAGTGTTTATTTTCTCTATTTGATCTTCGACTTGTGAAATTTGGCGGAAAATAGCGTCGGTTTGTGCTCAGATCTCTATTTTTAGCGATTTAGTGGATTTTTATGCAGAATTTACGGGATTTAGGTCGTAATTAGTGTCCCTCTGCTCTTCTGGAGCTTTCACGAGCTGTTATTTCTTTTTTCTTGATTCGATCTTATCATTTGATGATACTGCTGGGATTGTGAATTTGGCGGGAATTGTGACTGTTGTGCTCAGATCTTGCTTGTTTAGTGATTTATCAGAGTTTTTATGTAGAGTTTACTGGATTTGGTTGCGAGTTAGTGTCTGTTTACTCTTCCGGAGCTCTGAAGTTTGACGGAATCGTGTACGTTTGTTCTTAAATCTTGTTTGTTTGGTGGTCTGTTGGAGTATTTTTGTAAATTCACGGTATTCTGCTGCTTATGATGTCTTTTCAGATCTGCTGCTTTTCAGTGGTTTGATCTCCTTTTTAGCTTGTTTGACAGTTTCCTAAATCGTTCATACTGCTAGTATTCTTTATAGCTCTCAATCAAGGTTTCTAGATTTGGTGATCTACAATAAATTTAAGATTGTTGAAAATGAAATTTAAGGAAAATTTAGTTTTCTGGGAAGAATTGATTTCCATGTGATTAGAATGTAATTTAATATTTAATAATAGATTAATATTCTGCATATTTTGTCTGATGCTTGTAGTAGTTAATTGTGTTCAGCGGTTGTTATAATGTATAAAACAACTTAAATGTTGTAAGAAATTGAATATAACTAAGATTTTTATGCTAATTTGAGGGATTTTTGCTTGATGTTACTGAAATTTAACCCGGCATCTTCAAAGAGTAAGAATAATGAACCTGCATTTTGATTTGTCTTCTAATGTATCAACTCTGCCTGTCAGAAAATATGGATTCGAGCTCTTATATATCTGCAAGATGCGTAGTTGTTAATCATGATGTTAGTAGAAGAATCTTATATATCTGCAAGATGCGTAGTTGTTAATCATGATGTTAGTAGAAGAATCTACATTCTTCATACTTTGATATGTGTTACTGGGAGGATCTACGTCTGCCTATTTCCAAAATTGTCTGATCCATCTGTGGCTGTATTCCCACGTAAAAGTTCAAAACCAGTAAATCTAAGCAGTTTAGCTGGCCTTATGTGGCACCAATGTTTGGAATATATGCAAGGAAGCGAATCAAATAAAAATTTTAAAATTTATTTTCTTTCCCAAAATGTCATATGTGAAGGATTTGTACATTTAGGCAACAAGAATTTGATAAAAACCAAAGGATATATAGCTAGCAAAAGTAAATCAACCACAAATTCTCCTGCATATTGTATGATCCAATTACAATCTCTCAGTACATGAAATAATATCCATAGCAAGGCATTATATATCTTAGATGTTTCGCCTCTGCAGAACATGATTTAAGTCTGTAGGTTTTCGAGCATCTTCTCCGAAATCTAGGAGATATCAGAAATTGTTACTAACACTCTTCGTCCACTTTTATATGAACATCTTCTCTAATTGAGCTAACACTTCTTAAATGGCAGCGGCGGTGGTCTTGTGGCATACACTGATGCTAGCTCAAATCCTCCTGTTGAATCACCTCAGGTTCCTGCCAGGAAGAAGGTAGTTATCCTTGGAACTGGTTGGGCTGGCACTAGTTTCCTGAAAAATCTGGATAGCTCCTTATATGATGTGCAAGTAGTGTCACCTCGCAATTATTTTGCTTTTACACCATTGCTGCCAAGTGTTACATGTGGAACAGTTGAAGCACGCAGCATTGTTGAGCCAATCCGAAAAATCATAAAGAAGGTACAGATGAGTTATGTTGAGATAGAATCACTTTTTTTGCTAGAGAATTTCTTTTGGTAGCATTTATATTTGATTACATTTTTGACTCAAAAAGGTCATCTTAATATCTGTTTTCGTCTATATAGTTTGTGATGAGTTGTGATACTTGAGGAAGAGTTTGGTCTCACTTCATTTGCTAGGTTTTGTTGGTTATGATGTATGTGAGATATAAGTCTCTTAATCCATGATTTTCTTACTAATTCTTTTTTATTTATACTCTTGCATTCCATTGATTTATCAAGTCTGGTTTACATACAGTAGAAACATTCTTTTCTAAATAGGTAATATGGTTTTGACGATGACTTTTAATTTAACAGAAAGGGGGAGAGGTTAAATTCTGGGAAGCTGAATGTTTTAAGATTGATCCAGCAAACAAGAAAGTTCATTGTCGGTCTGAAATTGGAACAAATTTAGATGGCAATGGAGAATTTCAGGTTGAGTATGACTACTTGGTGGTAGCACTCGGAGCCAGAGCAAATACATTTAACACCCCTGGTGTCATGGAGCATTGTCATTTTCTGAAGGTACAAGCATTCACTGTAATCACTTTTTTTAAACAAAATATGATCACCTTGTTTGCTATTTTTAAGATTAATTTGTGCTATGAATTTAATACGCTGATTTTTACAAAAATGTCATGAGATACAAGGCTTACTTAGTCCGTACAGTATGTTTTTGCATGAATGTTCTTATCCTTTGTGCAATATACGTGGATATCATGCAGTATCTAAAGTGGTTCTCATCGTAGATGAATTGTGCAAAATTTAATTTATCTAGTTGTGATATCCTTATTTTCTTGATGTTTCTCTTGTGCCTCCTGCATGTAAATTCACTAATTAGTACACTAATGCAGGAAGTAGAGGATGCCCAGAAAATTCGAAGGAGTGTCATGGACTGCTTCGAAAAAGCTAGCCTCCCAAACCTAGATGATGAACAAAGGAAGAAGAATCTTCATTTTGTTATTGTTGGTGGTGGTCCAACTGGTGTTGAATTTGCTGCAGAGCTGCATGATTTTGTGACAGAGGATTTGTCTAAGTTATATCCAACAGTTTGCAAATTAGTGAAGATATCAGTTGTTGAGGCTTCAGAACATATCTTAACCATGTAAGGAAGAAAACAATGTCTAAACTCTTCTATGTTTCTCTAATTGGTTAGAAGTATTAAATTGAATGACCTGATCCGGTTTTCTCCTTAATCTTTCAACATCTAGACCTGAAAAAACGCATCTATACATGAAATAGGATAATTAATTTTATTTTATGACTCATTTTTTGTGTGCAGGTTCGATAAGAGAATCACAAACTTTGCAGAAGAAAAGTTTGGACGTGATGGTATTGATGTTAAAACAGGAGTTAAGGTGGTGAAAGTGTCTGATAATGCCATACATATGATAAGTAGATCTACAGGAGAGACTTCTGAACCCTATGGAATGGCTGTCTGGTCTACTGGCATTGGTACCCGTCCGGTCATATTGGACTTCATGAAACAAATCGGTCAGGTTAGTAAATTTATGCTTTTGATGGACCTTTATTTCTATAAAATTCGGATCATCATCAGTCACTTCTTATTTGCTTTGTTATATTGACCTATTAGTCTCTCTTCACCTGTACAGGCTGATAGGCGTGTGTTAGCAACTGATGAATGGCTAAGAGTCCGTGGATGCGATGGGGTGTATGCTCTTGGAGATTGTGCCACAATAAGTCAACGAAAAATCATGGTATGTGTAGTATGGATATCAGAAGTTCATCACTTAGCGCAGTTCCAGGATAGTTATTATAAAAACAGTGGTTGACGATCTTTATTAATTTCCAAACCAAGGGCAGTATCTACGATTTTTTTCTCAAAAAAAGCAATCACAACTAGAAAGATCAGTCATATGATAGGAATTTATTTTCTATAAATTTTCTTGTTCTCTTTTGCTGAGCATCTCGAGTGTCAGTCAATGAAATCTCATTGCACCCACATACTTCATTAACCATATCAATTACCACATCCAATAATAAATTGTTCCCCTTACCATATAAATGAACTAAGTTAAAACTTCATGTTTCTAAATGCTGTGCGTGTACAGCCAAGTAATGATCTCTTCTTGTTTCTGTAATGTGATTTTGTTTGGCCTCTCTTTTTACCCTAGAAATTAACATAATTCTGTATAGAAAGCCTGTCCAATCTTATGACCTAGTCTCGACTCTAGGGGAAGTTTAGATGGTTGCTAAGTACATGACCAAAAAAGAGAGTCTTTGTTGACTAGTTCTAGATTTTTCTCATAGTTACCTTGGTCAAGAATTTATCGTGGATCTGTAGATCTTCAATTCTTTTGTGAAGCTTTCTTGATTTCGCCTTCTGCTTGGCAGCCAAACTACAAAGAGAGGGAGAACGAAGGAATCCTAACTAATTGTCCTTGATTTCAATGTATTTCCAGGAAAATGTCTCTGAAATCTTCAAGATAGCGGACAAGGACAATTCTGGAACTTTGACTGTGAAAGAGATCCATGATGTCCTAGATGATATTTGCATAAGATATCCTCAGGTGGAGCTCTATTTGAAGACCAAGCAAATGAGCAACTTTGTAGATCTCGTGAAGGAATCCGAAGGAAATGCTGCAAAAGAATCGGTTGAACTAAACATAGAGGACTTCAAAAAAGCTCTTGCTGATGTGGATTCACAGGTCAAGAATCTTCCTGCAACAGCTCAGGTATTCCACCATTATCATCAAACAGAATTTTCGTTTTTTCAATATAATGACAGTGCAAACGGAATTAGGGCATTACTATTCTGAGAAATATTTATGCTGAAGGAACTTTGCTTAATCTTCTTCTTCATAAACCATGTACCAGGTTGCTGCACAACAAGGAAATTATCTAGCTCGATGCTTTAATAAAATGAAAGACAACGAAGAAAATCCTGAAGGACCTATCCGGATTAGAGAATCGGGTCGTCATAGATTTCGCCCCTTTAGGTACCTGTTTCTGCAATTTTTCGTAACACTTCTAAATCAATTGAGCTTTTATCTTGTTTACTATACCTAGGGGTGGAAATGAACCAAATAATTAACAAATAGTTCGATAATTGTTTGAAAAAGTATTCGGTTATATTCGATTTGGTAGTTCATTTACCACTAAACAAATATTTTTTAGTATTCGAGTTTACTAACGAGTAGAATTTAACCAGATGTATATTCGATTCGTTTGTCTATTAAATATTCATTTAAAATTTGATCACATCATATTACTTGTATTATTGCACATATGATGTCATATTTTTAACCTACATACCATTTCTACTTGAGCTTTATATCCTGATTTTAAGACTTAAATAATCTTAAATCTGTTTTCTAATTAAAATTTTAATTTAAATATATATACATCATATATTATAAAGGAATAAATTTTATTTATGAATTCAAATACTATTTGAAAATCAAATTCTTTAGCGGAATAAATATACTTTGATATTCGATAAGTATTCGTGAATATTCATGAATATTTATCAAATACCAAGTATTCGAGTTAGAATTCGAAAAACTAGATATATGAATTTTAGAGTCCACATTCGAATTCAATAATTTTAAACAAATACAAATACGGACATCTTAGTATTCGATTCGATTCGATCGTTTACTACCCCTAACTATACCTTTGTTTCCAGCATGTTGACCAGTAACCTTTGCTTTACTCTGTCAAAGATGTTATGTATTATGAGTGGCATGATAATGGTCCAAATTTTATTAGAGAACACTCACACTTTTACTCCTAAGGTACTTGCTGTAAACTTAATTTACACAGAGTCTCAAACAAATTATCATGTGCTATATAAGATTATTTATGCAGTGGTCTGGTGGCCTTGAGCTCTAGAAAATGTATCATGCGCCATGTGTAGTTAACTGAGTATATGCTGCCATTTTTAAGTTGTTTAGTTCATTAACGAAAGCTTCATGAATCCTTGACCCTTTATCTGATGGATATTTGCGTTGTTTTTTCTCGAAGGTACAAGCATTTGGGGCAATTTGCTCCATTAGGAGGAGAGCAAACTGCTGCACAACTCCCCGGCGATTGGATATCAATAGGCCGCAGCAGTCAGTGGCTCTGGTACTCTGTATATGCAAGGTATGCACTGGCTTCAATTTTAGTTTACTTTGACCACTAGGGAGCATTACTTGCGGATAGACCCTCATCCTTTTGTCCAATTGCGGATAAGACCCCCTTAGTTCTATTGCTGCAGATAGACCTGAGTGAAATTTTTGAATCTTTTACCCTTAGAGAATGTGGAAATTGTTCTTTGACGAATAGACCTCTTGAGGATAAACGAGTCAAAGAATGAGTTCTATCTGCAATTGAGTGATAGTACAGAGAGTTTATCCACACAATTGAATTAAAGAGGTCTATCCGCAATTAACCCAAAACCTTAAAGAAAGAAAAAAAAAATAATAAAAGGATTTCACAGAGTTAATTCAATACACATTCTCCTGGTTCTGAGTGTTTCTTTCTCATTTATAGTAAGCAAGTTAGCTGGCGCACAAGGGCCTTAGTGGTCTCGGACTGGATGAGGCGATTCATATTTGGGAGGGACTCTAGCCGTATATAATCAAATTCAAAAGCTCATCCTTCTTTGAGTTGAAACAAACTCGGCTAAAGGTTTTTTCGCCAGCACATTTGAGTTTTAGTCCCGTGCTTTTAACTTTGTTCATCTCTACGTTACTTTCCCTTTTCTGTAATCAGAAATTTTGCCTTATGATTCATCATCATCTCTGAAGCGTTTGTTATAAAATTTTTAGCATTGCTTGTTGTTTGCTGGTTGTAATAAAATACGGTGATGGATGTATATACCTGAGGGCGTCAGGCATATATCACTGTAAGATCTTGGATTCAGATTTTCACACACTAGACTTTGTTTGCAAAAGTCAGATTGTTTTATCATTCCAAATTGATTATTGAGAAAAGAAAATTATTTTGTCGTCCAAAATAAAATTGTTAATTTTTTTTTTTGCTTTGTTCACAGTTAAGAAGGAAATGAAAAATTGTTCTGGAAAAATTGACCAGAAAAGGCCGTGTATTTGTTAAATTTTTTTTTTCTGAACGTTCTTTATGTTGTAATTTTCTCTTATATCATTAATTTCTATTTCTATGCTTATTATCATTGCAACGGAGAAAGAGATCATAATGTTAGTTTTGTCTTGGCCTTCTCATTATGTAAGAACCAAAGCACGGTCTTCAGTATTTCAGGAAATTAAATTCCTGTGATCTTCATGAGAGTCGAACCTGAAACATTGGAGTACTATTCATAGATAGCTTACCAACTCGGCTAAACCTTCTTGGGTGCAATCGCAAAATTAAAAGTAAGTATTATTGATATCATTAGTGCTTGTCGAATTAGCAAACCCTTCACATTTAAAACTTAGTTATGGATCAAATGTTATAAAAGCTTTTGACGAAGGAATTGACATTTATGTGAGGAATTATGCAATAATACATGACAAACTAAGAGAGCACATTATCACTGTAATATCACGCAAACTTTTCTTTCATTATCATTGATGAGAGGTTAAGGACAACAACAGGGATGGATCCAGAAACTTTTCTATATGGGGGCACATAGACAATTAAATATATAAATTAATATATTATATAATATTAACTCTTGCAATAGTAAAACTTATGGACGATAACCACAAAGATCTCCACGTATAATACTTTCTTTATTATCATTTTACATTAATACATAGTTATTTTTATTTTCATCACAAAAACTAAAGAAATACTGTAAGTTTGTCAATAGATTTTAGCAATTTTTCTCTACATGGGGGCACCACATAAAAATTAGGGAAAAATATGTCTAGGCCCCAAAAGCGGAAACTCCATGTGACACAACCCCTTATATTTTAGCCCATGTGATTCAGCCCCAAAAAGTAACATTTAATGTTTCAAGGCCCCTCCACGTCAGCAGTAAAAAAAAAAGATCGTATTTTGGAAAAAAAACCCAAAATTGCCCATCCACTTATCTTCCCCAGGCACCTCTGGTTCCCAAAAACATAGAAAATCATGTCCCGTTAATGCGATCTGACGGAAAAAATGGAGGGAAATTTTTCGCCCTTTTTTAAACTCTATCATGAGTAATAACTCATATTAGTTCTAACTTATTTCATGTTAGTTCTAATTCATGTTAGAGCTAACTTTAAGTGGAACTAACATTAATACTTTGGCTACTTGGTCTAGTGGTAAAGCTTGGAAATTTGGAGAGAAGGTCATGATTTCAAACCCCTGCAACCATAATATATATTTAAAGGTCTTTGATTGGGCATTGGGGCTGTTTGTTAGTTCTAACTCACTTTATGTTAGTTCTAATCCTAATTCATGTTAGGTTTAACTTAACTCACTAGAACTAACACTTATATTAGAAATAACACTAGTTGCAAGTAGAACTAACACGAGAACCGCTAGAACTAACAAGAGCTCAACTAGAACTAACATATCACTAGAACTAACGTTTATATTAGAAATAACACTACCTGCAATTTACAACTAACACGACATTAGCTAGAATTAACATGAGAGCCACTAGAACTAACAGGGACTCAAATAGAATTAACAGACCACTAGAACTAATGCTTATATTAGAAATAACACTAGCTGAAAGTTAAAACTAACATAACATCAGCTAGAACTAACACGAGAACCATTAGAACTAATATGGGCTCAACTAGAACTAATATACCACTAGAACTAACGCTTATATTAGAAATAACAACTGGAAGTAGAACTAACATGAAATCAGCTAGAACTAACAGAGGCTCAACTAGAACTAACATACCACTAGAAATAACACTAGTTAGAAATAGAACTAACATGACATCAACTAGAACTAACACGAGAATCACTAGAACTAGCAGTGGCTCAACTAGAACTAACATACCACTAGAACTAACAATTATATTAGAAATAACACTAGCTGGAAATAGAACTAACACGAAATCAGCTATAGAACTAACACGAGATCCGCTAGAACTAATAGTGGCTCAACTAGAACTAACATATCACTAGAACTAACGCTTATATTAGAAATAATACTAGTTGCAATTTAGAACTAACACGACGTCAGCTAGAACTAACACGAGAACCGCTAGAACTAACAGGGGCTCAACTAGAACTAACATACCACTAAAACAAACGCTTATATTAGAAATAACACTACCTGGAAGTTAGAACTAACATGACATTAGTTAGAACTAACACGAGAACCACTAGAACTAATAGGGTCTCAACTAGAACTAACATACCACTAGAATTAACGCTTATATTAGAAATAATACTAGCTGGAAGTAGAACTAACATGCATAATTCTTTTCTATTATTGTTTAACGCTTATATTAGAAATAATACTAGCTGGAAGTAGAACTAACATGCATAATTCTTTTCTATTATTGTTTGATGTTGTTGCCTTGCGATCTTAGTCCTGGAAGTAGAACTAACATGCATAATTCTTTTCTATTATTGTTTGATGTTGTTGCCTTGCGATCTTAGTCACAGTCAGCGCTTCGGCCACGTCCACAACAAATTAAAGAAAAAACTGATAATAAAATAGCAATAACAACGATAAAAGAGGAGAGAAATTCACTCACTTTTCATTTATAATTTTCGGAAACAATTACAAATAAAATGTTTTAAAAAAATTTCATAACAAAACAATTAATAAAAATTCAAGGTAACAAATTAAAACCCAACGTGCTTGATGCACGGCGAGTCCAAGCCAATCGAGCTTTTAATTAACAACCTAGATAGCGATTTGATTAAACTAACTAGCTCTTGACGAATCCGTCGATAAACTTGGCCCCGGCGTCCCTCGGCCAGGTGACGTCCCCCAACCAGTTCTCGATCAGGAAGAGGGACGCCTCCTTGTTGATGAGCTCGTGTTTTTTTACCCACTCGGCCCTGGGCCTGGGGTCGCCGTTGGGCCCCCTGTTGTTGTACTCGGTGTAGTAGCAGGTCTGATGGAAGTCGGCCCCGTCCCGACGGCCCAGCCCTCGGGCCTGATCGCGTCCCTAATCTCCGACTCCATGACCACCGTCCTCGCCTTCGCCTTCCACGACCTCCCTAGAGCCTGATCATTTTCAGTGACCATAGCGGAAGTGAGAGAGAAGGAGAAGTTGAGAGATAGAGGGGTGAGAGAGAGAGAGAGATGTGATTAATGATGGAGAAATTGAGAATAAATAGGAAGAGGCGCAATAACCGAGTTTAGTCCCATCAAAGGGGCAAGTTCGTAACTTCCATTAGGTTTTTTTTGAAATCCGATATTTTGAGGCATCGTCACAAATACTGTGTGTATTTGGGGCTTATCCACATGTGGTAGAATACAAATGGCATCGTCACATGAAGTTTCTACTTTTGGGACCTCGGCACAAATTTCCCAAATAACAATCAATTTCATCATCCTTTTAATGATTTTTTTTAGTTTTTAACGGCTAATGTAAAACAATATCAGGGTAATTCAATAAATAAATAAATAAATCTGAAGCTAAACTTTCACTTCATTCATAAACTTTTACGTAAGCAGACACATTCAACCCATAACAAGTCAACAGTACTTCAAAAAACCATTATTCAACTTTACCTATTTGTTGCTGATATGCTTTGTTGTTCAGTACATTTGGGACCATTCAGGGTACAACAGAATGGCTTGAAATTGTCTTCAACATCCTCATTGTTGATCGGGAATATCAAGGCGAGTTCCCACTCCAATTCAGAAAAGAAGGAAAAGTAACAAGATAGGCTGCATACTAAATTACCAAATAAAAAAAAAAAAAAAAAAAAAAAAAAACACACAAACAAAAAAAAAAAAAAAAAAAAAAACAAACAAACACACCTTTGTTAGCATTTAGCCTCCCATAATCCCCTAATTCATGAGGAATGCAGGTGAATTAAATGAACTACATACAAACTCCTCAAGGATCAAAAAATAACCGCACGCTAGCCTGACATGCTTTATTACGTGAACATCGACTGAAATTGGGGACGTGTGCAGGTGTTCTTGCACACAACAAAATCAAAGAAGCAGTCGGTGCATCTTAAGATGAGTTGAGCACAGTTCGAGTGGCGCGACGAGAGCGTCGGACGCCTGCCCACAAGCATCCAGGCACGATGCGAGCAGTTTGAGTGCGCGGCGATGGGCTGCGATGAGGTGGGTGTCGACGAGCATTGTAACAACTATGCAAAGCTCACTCGATGGTTCCGTATACTACTAGAAAACTTCACTTTGAATACAGTTCACACACAATAACAGACACAAATCAGAAACCCGCCATTAACATTATTGAATCGGATCTCCGTCCGTCTTCAATTCTCCGAATCTTCAGCGTCTTCGAAACTCAAGCTCGAGCCCCCCTCCTCCTCGGCGAAGCAAGACTTCCTCCCGACCAGATCAGCCACCCTCTTAGCACACCCCGAGTTCCTCGGGCTCTCAACCACGGCCCTCAGCGTCCTGATCCTCGCAGCCCCTCGGCACTTCGTTGCCCCGACGGCGGGCTGCCGCTGCCGCTCCCGAGGGAAAAGACCTCATCTTGCTCTTGGCGGCGGCCGCTTCGCTCCTGCCTCCTCAATTCTCCGGCCAGCGACCACTTCCTTCTCTTGTTTAACGCCCTTCGTTTGTTGTACGGCTGGCGACGACCCTCACCTTCGCGCTCCTGAAGGGTCTCTTCTTCTCCTCAAACAGGGTTTTGGGCTTGATCCCTGAAGCAGACCCTTGTCCTAATCTGGCTGGTTTTTTCGCCCCGACGGTCGAAATCCCCTTCCTGGGATCGAAAACCCTAGAATCCATCGGTTTTCGGGGTTTAGGGCTAGTGCTCCTCGCTCCTCCGGCTCTGCTCCCTTGCCTGAGGATCTCCGATGGGCCGAGGCTCATCCCCCTCCTCCACGCTGAATCCTTCGCCTTCTCCTCTCTGATTCCTTCAAGCTTCTTGGAGCTGGGCTTCTGTTGTGATCGTAGCGGAGTGGCGTTTTGGTAAATTTCCATCGGGCCGGGCGCCGCGAGGCTGACTCCCGCTCCGGCGGGACCATCTTGGACGGCTTTCGCTCAGTTCGAAATGCGGCGCTGACGGCGGCGCGGAAGGGGTTTTCGAGAGTTCAAGAACTATGGCGGGGACCGATCCGGCGCCGCCCGCCGCCGGCGCTTGCTGTGGGCCCGCGGTCTATGGGATTGGCCAAGCGAGGATCTGGGCTTTCCTGATGATCTCGAAGGCCTTCTCAGCTTGCCATCGCGAGCCCAGCCCGATCTCTCGCCTAGAATCTCGGCGATCTGCCGCGTCGATGCCTCCGCCGGCCGCGCGACGCCCGAGGGTCTCTTGATCGCGTTGTCGGATTCTGCGCTTGAGATTGAAGGGAGAGGGCTGGACGGGCGCCCGGCCCGCAGGCCCAACGGGCCTTTCCGTCGAAGGCGGCGCTTGTCCAGACCTGGAGGTGTCGAGCTGCTGCTGGCATTTTCTTGAGAGAGAGAGTAGAGAGAGAGAGAGAGAGAGAGAGAGAGGGAATGGAATTTTGAGAGAGAAGAGGGAGCGAGGGGGGGTTTTGATCGGTGGGGTTTTTTTGACCGTTGGAGGAGACGTTGGAGGGCGCTCCGATGGGATTTAAAGGCTAATTAAGAGTATAACGATCGTTCGCGCACCCCGTTTTTGACCCCGCGCAATATTTGGGGAATGCCAGTGTATACGCGCAGTGTGGTCACGTGGTTTTCGGTCCCTGTAATATTTCGTGATTATGTTAAGCAGGATCTTTACATGAATGTCGTATTAATATTTTATTTGGTAGGTGGAGGGATTTTGTGCAGGGATCATGTTTTATGGCTGTTTATTTGAAGGGTAAATTTTGAAAACAGACCATTTTGCAAAAATATTTTTAAAAAAAGATATTTTTTGAAAATATTTGTAAAAAACAACCTAGTTTCAGACCTAAGGTTAAAACTAGAACGTTTTTTGCGAAAAAAGTTCCCAAATTTCACGAAAGTTGAACCCCGTTAAGTTTTTTACATAACAAAACTTCACGAGAGTTCAACTCCCGTGAAGTTTAGGAACAAGTCTTTTTTTGGGAATATTTTTGCAAAGGGTCTGTTTTTAAAATTTGTCCTTTATTTGAATGCATGTTTGACTCTTTTTTTAGTTTTACTCTTTTTTTAGTTTTCTATTTTATGCGTATAACGATTACTCTTTTTTTTAATGTCGTATTAATACAAGTTTTCTATTTTCTTTCTAATTGTAATATAGTTCATAGTTAGTGCCTCTATTATTTGTACGGCTCCTGCTTAAGTTAATGCTTTACTCACTTTGTAAAACAAATTAAGCCTTCTCAATTTTGAGCCTTGGTTTATTTGGTGCTAAGCAATTCATAAAGCACAATAAAAACACATAGAACCAAAGAAGATTTGTTTTAGTGTAGGATCAGGGATCTTTTTGTCCATGCAATAAGTTTAATTGAATAGGTCTTCAAGCAAGTAAATCTCTCCGCTATTTGTGTTAACATTATATCTTACTTAGATAATTCGTTTTATCCACAAAAAGTTGGATAACTAGTTTTATCCACACAAAAAAAATAAAAAGATAATTAGTTCATTGTCAAATGCTAGGGGGGGAAATTATTTTCCGAAATTTACTCCCCAATCAAATTTGAACCTTTCTAAATCATTGAAACGTGAAACCTAAGTTCAAATCAACGGTAGAATTTCCTTAGCCAAGTAACAACTATGCAAACTTTGGAGAAAAATAAGGAGATTATCTCTCATCAAAGTAACAAACTTTTATTTGATCGGATCAAATGGGGGGGATTATCCCATGATCCTAAAAAATCTACTCACTACTAGCCTCCTTTATAAACTCACTCATTTCATCTTCTTCTCAATTCTCTCTCTTACATTTATTCTCTCACTCTTTACTCTCTACTCTACTATTTTTTTTAAAAAAATTCTCTTAGAATTATAATTTTTTTTTTTTGGATACAGAGTTAAGTTAGTATCAATGGCAGGTGGTACTTTTGTTGATAAAGGCACGGGCAAAGATTACCCGGGAAAGATGACACCATTTGTCTTCATAAGTTGCCTCATTGCTTCATGTGGTGGTCTCATTTTTGGCTATGATATTGGGATCTCTGGTATTTTTCTTTTTCCTAATATTTTCTCTCCTTACCTAGTAAACTTTATCTCGAATATTGTACATATAGAATTTCATGACGACGGCGATGATGATGCAAGCTGTTTTATGTATGGAAAAAAATGGGTATGAGCCGGCAGCTCATTTAGCCAGTATTTCCCTAATGTGTTTTATCGCAATGGTTTCATTTTGACAGGGGGAGTTACGTCGATGGATTCTTTCCTGATAAAGTTCTTCCCATCGGTGTATCACAAAATGAAAGAAGATACGGGGACAAACCAGTATTGCAAATTCGACAGCCAGTTGCTCACGACGTTCACATCGTCGCTGTATCTAGCCGCTCTTATCGCCTCCTTCTTTGCGTCGACTGTGACTCGGGTTTTAGGAAGAAAATGGTCTATGTTTGGAGGAGGCATCACGTTTCTTGTAGGTGCTGCGCTCAATGGGTCTGCACAAAATGTACTCATGCTTATTGTTGGAAGGATTTTGCTTGGAATTGGGGTTGGGTTTGCAAACCAGGTAATCTTTGCAATATTTCTTGAATCTTTGTTCATTTATGTCTGGTATCATTCAGTCTGTGCATGAAATCTTCATGAATCATATTTCTTGGGGGGAAAAAAACCTTACTGCCATGAAATATGTATAAACACTTATTCGGGAAGAATTAATTCACACATCCTCCGATGAACACCACATGTCGTTACAGAAAGAAATGCCTGCAAATTTCAAATTCTAACACGAATGTCAGCAGAAAAACCTTTTAACATGCAAACGTTCTGATAAAATTTGCTTATTTAGACTGCGTGTGACGTTGAAAATTCAATTGCAGTCAGTCCCCGTCTACCTCTCTGAAATGGCCCCTGCCCGCCTTCGGGGCATGCTAAACATAGGCTTCCAGCTAATGACCACCATCGGCATCTTCGCCGCCAACCTCATCAACTACGGTACCTCCAAGATCTCCATCACCTTAGGCGCCCTTTTCCTCCCCGACACCCCAAACTCCCTCATCGAACGCGGCTACGATGAAAAGGCCAAGCTTCAACTCCAGCGCATCCGAGGCACCTCCGACATCAAAGCGGAGTTCGAAGACTTGGTTGCCGCGAGCCAAGAGGCGAAGATGGTACGGTTAACATGTAACATACGACTGTTCTTTTTGTACTTGTACAGGATATCTTCGGCATATATAACGAGAACACTGTCGACTTCTCTCGGTTGACAGGTACAACATCCGTGGAGGAATATTTTGAAGAGGAAGCACAGGCCACAGCTGATAATGTCGATTATGATACCGTCCTTCCAGCAGCTGACGGGGATTAACGTGATCATGTTCTATGCGCCCGTGTTGTTCAAGACGATAGGGTTCGGGGACGATGCATCGCTTATTTCGTCGGTGGTGAGCGGGGTTGTCAATGTGTTCGCGACGTTCGTGTCGATTGGGACTGTTGATAGGTTTGGGAGGAGGGTTTTGCTTTTGGAAGGAGGGCTTCAGATGATTGCTTCTCAGGTACTCTGAACTTCCGGCTCATTTAACTGTCAACTAAATCCTAGCTACTTCTAATAAGTTATATGTAATTATTTTTATTTGATACTTATACCAACCTAAGATATTTTGTTTTTCACATGATTTCATTGCAAGCATACCATCCTTTTTTGCTAGCTGATACGATATTTCATTTTACAGCTACTCGTAGGCATAATGGTGATGAAAAAATTCGGGACGACGGGCATCGCGGATGACTTGACAAAGAACTACGCAATGGGGCTCGTAGTCCTCATCTGCGTCTTCGTTTCGGCTTTCGCTTGGTCATGGGGACCTCTCGGGTGGCTGATCCCCAGTGAAATCTTCCCTCTAGAGATTCGATCAGCCGGCCAGAGCATCAACGTGTCGGTTAACATGTTGTTCACCTTCTTCATTGCTCAGGCGTTTCTCCCCATGCTTTGTCACTTCAAGTTCGGGCTCTTCTTCTTCTTCGGCTCATGGGTGGCCGTCATGACCGTGTTTGTCTACTTCTTCGTTCCTGAAACAAAGAACGTGCCGATCGAAGAAATGACTCGCGTATGGAAGAACCACTGGTTTTGGAGCAGGTTTACTGAGGAGGATGAGTCGCAGGTGTAAGGATTTGATGCTAGTTTGGTTAATTAGAATTGATGTTTTAGGTGTTTGTGATAATTTTCTTCAGCTTAGACGGATTGCGCCTGTAATAATCGACACAAGTAATTGTGAGTTTATTTGGGATTTTAATTTATTATTCTGTGTATTTATTTCAGATGCATTAATTAACTGTCCCTGGTAAGTTTCTGCTATGTATGTACGTAAGAGATGCGTGAAAAAACTCACCGTTATCAAGTAGTTTCTTAATTTTGTGCATGAACGTCTGAAGGGAACAAAAATATTAATAATTGCCACCTCTATCAAATTTATTTCGTTTCTTAATCTTTAACTCATCCACACGATCAAATAATGGTTAAGAAGGTTACCCTATTCGAATCTTGATATCCTCACTGACCATTAGATGATCTTTAAGTCTACAACCTGAAATTTAATCAAGTTCTGCGAAGAGGAGCCACAAGCTAATAAACCATTCTAATGAGGTATCCCGCGAGAGGTGGGGTGTATTCGTATAGATCAAGGCTCGGATTAATCTCAAATGGATGTGTTGTAAGTGTTGGGCGTGACGGAAGCTTAAAACCACACGAACAAGAACGAGATAAATCACAGCCAATATTAAGCCAAACATAATATCACAGCAAATTAAACAAACGAATTTTACGTGGTCCGGCAAGTTGGCTACGTCCATGGGGCAAGGAGGGGGGAGTTCTTACTATCAAAAATCAAGAGAATACAAATAGAATTACAAATCTCTCAAATAAACCCTAAAACAAAGCCTCTAAATCTCTCACAACTCTCCCACAATTGGATATAACAATCCCCTCTCAAAGACTGCTCAAAACGTCCTTGCTTAACCCTAATTAATTAGGATTAGACTTATATATCAATACAGAAACGAAACGGGTTGAAAATCAAAACCTAGCTTAGACCCGACTCGCGGTTGACCACAGAACCACTCGCGGTCGACTGGATCCAACGACCGAGACTAAAAAATCCTACAGGGTTTGGCCGGTCGACCGCAAAACCCATCGCGGTCGACCGTGAAAACGACAGAAACTTTCCCGAGTCTCTGGACTTTTGGCGGTCGGCCCCGCCGCGCCACTCGCAGTCGACCGCGACCTGATACTGAACAGAACTCATCCTCGTGCACGTTGGCGGTCGATCGCACAATACCCAAATCTGATCCTTCGCCTTTTCCTACGGTCTTCGTAGCTGTGCTCGCCATTTCCTCAGTAAGCTTAGATAGGATTATTAATTAATACGCCATTTCCAAAAGAAAAACACGAGTGATCAGTAAACAACAATTAAAATGAGAGATTTTTATTTTATAAGAGGCGATCTTAGAGTTCGTTCACTAGATAGAAAAGGTTAATAAAAAACAAAAAAGCCATTTACGCAATTAATTTGCTGTACGTGCTAGCTAGCAAAGTCCCCATCCGGCAGCAATTTCTCTCGTCTGAAATCATCAACAATTAATCTGATTCGAAATAATACGCATGTATAATCTCGATTCCTCTATTTTTACATGTATTAATTCCATAACTACTACTCGTACATAATACTTACATCCCCTCAGACAACCCACGGATAAATACTTAGTTAATTATTTTTCTCATCTCCTAGTAATCTTTAGTTTGGGCCCCAACAGCTCAAATACCACACCATTCTAAGCGACTCCCCAGAGCTCAAGGCGCTAGACCCGCGGCCTGGGCTGAGTTGAGCCGTCGACCATCCGAAAAGAGAACCCTTGCGTTTGAGGACGGAAGAGCTAGGCTTCGCTGCGTGATCTTTCTGCTCAGCGGCGGCCTTCATGCTAGCTACGCGGTATGTCGATGATAAGCGGAGGAGTAGTATCTAAATTCTAACAAAGGTTCGAGTTAAATGAAGCTAGGAACTTTAAAAAGACAAAAAAAAAAAAAAAATTGAAAATGAAAATGAAACGGTGTTTTGGGAAAACCAGCGGCTTCTACTCACTGAAACCGTGAGTAGAGCCCACTGTTTGATTGAAACGGGGAACTGGACTAGCTTTACGTGCATGTGCACACTTTGCGGGTGCACCTGTTGGCGTCGTTTGGCAAATGGTTAGGTGAGGAGTTAAGAAGACTTAACTAATCCCTTTTTAACCCGCCAAACATAAGAAATATACAGAAAGGTTAAAGCGAGTTAACCCTCTATTAACTTTCCAAACGCAAAAAATGCTGAAGGGTTAAGCTAAACCCTTTGGAGGGATTAAAATGAGTTAACCCCTCAAAATGAGAGGTTTACTAATTTAAATGAAGCTAGGAACTTTAAAAAAACAAAAAAAAAAAAAAAATTGAAAATGAAAATGAAACGGTGTTTTGGGAAAACCAGCGGCTTCTACTCACTGAAACCGTGAGTAGAGCCCACTGTTTGATTGAAACGGGGAACTGGACTAGCTTTACGTGCATGTGCACACTTTGCGGGTGCACCTGTTGGCGTCGTTTGGCAAATGGTTAGGTGAGGAGTTAAGAAGACTTAACTAATCCCTTTTTAACCCGCCAAACATAAGAAATATACAGAAAGGTTAAAGCGAGTTAACCCTCTATTAACTTTCCAAACGCAAAAAATGCTGAAGGGTTAAGCTAAACCCTTTGGAGGGATTAAAATGAGTTAACCCCTCAAAATGAGAGGTTTACTAATACTTCTATTTAGAAAGATTAAGAGTTAATCCCTCTAATTATAAAGAAAATAGTCAAAATCTTTGTTATTCTCACACGCTAAAAATGATCACAATGGCTAAAATAAAACTTATATAATGGGTTAATAATTTAGTCGTTCGGATTATCGATTAGTTTAACTATATTAATCCTTCTCTTTAATCACTCTAGCTTAATATTCTTTGTCAAACGGGACCTACAGGGTTAGAAATTTTATCTTGGAGGGTCAAGAATCTAAGATACACAAAATATTTCACGTTTACTTCATAAAAACGGTTTTTTTATATTAGCCTGTTAAATTTTGAATATTTTGAAAAAGAAAATTTGTCTATGGCCTGTCAAATCATGTTAAATTCATGGAAATTGCTATTGGATCCCCCAATTTTTAAATCATTTCAAATTAATTTAGTCCCTCAAATTGGGGAAATTAATGTTATGTTCTATATTTCTGATGATTAATTTTAAATAACTCATGAGAATTGGAGTTTTATGTAACAATAGTTTTTTTTTTCCTTTTTTTACTTTTCCTGTTTTTCTACAATAAATTGTGATACATTCTTTTGCTTTGGCAGGTAGGTAAAAATGCAATCTATTATCCTACTGTACTTAAACTTTGAAGAACATGATGCATAATAAAACGTCGTTTGCTAATATATGAGAAAACTAGGGACTTGGAAAATGAAATGAATATGACAGGGATTCATCTAAATAAAAGGCCATTGTTCCACTTTAGCTGCAATTTTTTCTTTTCTCTATTGTTTGCAATCTCTTGATTATTGTCTCCATCTCTCCTTTTTGATGCATCTGGCCCTTGATTGCTCTTGTATTTGTATTTGAAGAGGCAGGTATGCGTACATTGTGGGTCCCTTATGGCAGTTTGGTAACCATGGAATTTTTTAGTTTCATATTGTTTTTTGGAGAAATATATGAGGTGTATATTCATCATGACTAAAATACTAGATTGGTCTAAATAGTGACACTTCTTTACCACTTTGGCCTAAAGAGTGACGCCGGCGACAATTTGACATAAAAGTGACAAGTTGATGACAAATAGACTTTTCTGATCGTCGGAGTAATTTTTAGCAAAAAATTAAAGAAATTATATATATATACCACTTAATCTCTCATGATTTTTAAATTAACTCGTCTCCTTTCCCTAAGTTTCTGAAATTTGTAAAAAAAAAAAACCTCTTTTTCCACTATCTTCTTCCTTCTCCTTCCCATCTTCTTCCTCATTCCCTTATTCTTCCTATACCTTAACCCTTCATCCTCCCTCACTCCCTCTCCTACCTCATTTCATGGATCATCCACTTACTCTTAAATTCCTTCATCTCCTCCAATATCTTTTACTCTAAATCCCCAACATTTTTTTGGCGACTGAGAATCGGATGATTTTAAATTTTAAGTCTCGCAAACTCTTTTCAGTAAGTATTTGCCAAAATTCTATATTTTGCACACCCATATGATCACGCGCTCTGAAGAAAATGGGAATGTCATGAATTTGTGTACAGGGAGGAAAGGAAGGATTATATTTGAATATTGATAAACATATCATTAATATGGATTAAGTGTCATGAATAGGTTGCAGCTTTATAAAACCTGGAGGTCACGGGTTCAAGTCCACGTGCATTGAGCCATCCTTTATATCGCTAAGTGGCAGATTTGCAATAAAAATTTTCAGTGCATGGCACTTGGTATCTTGTATTCAAGAATAAACAAATTCACAGCCTTCACGTCTCCAATTATATTTGCCATTATTCACAAGCACATATTACACGACATTTATGCAAGTAGATATTAACAAGCCACGGTTGATCCAATGAATGCAATCTAGAAGCAAAAATGACCCTGTTAAGGTTTATCAAACTCAAGACTTGCGTAACGAAAAAATTATTTCTAGACCATGAAATGCATCTACATTTCGTATTTCAAGGAACTTGCATGAGCAGAGAGAAACATGTAAAAGAAAAAGAAAAAAGAGTGGGCATAATAATGATTTGAGCTGTACATTAAAATGCCTAGCATTAATCAAAACACAAAATTGAAGTAGAAATGTACGTATTTGTCCTCTGTAGTCTGTAGTGCATCTGTAAAGAGTAAACGCAACTAAGGAAACTAGATCAATTGACTAAGCAAAAAACCTTATCATTTACAGGTAACAACGCAAAACCTAGAACAAGCAAACATAGACGTCAAAGTTTCATGCAAAATTATATGCACACTATTTATTTTTAACAAACACCTTTCGACAAACCCCTGAAAATCTCGAAAACAGAAGAGGATGAGCAGAAACAAGCTCACTCGCTACAGCACAAACTAACCATATACTTCAACAGAACAAAACAAAGGCTTACATCAACAGATCAACTGCGATTTACACTGAATCAACAACTTCAACTTGCTGCTGAGCTAGGTATCTCTCCCTTCGTTCTTTCTGAAATATATAAAAGCGAGAAATAAGAAAAATAATTGTAAGGGGGGACAAATTGCGGCTTGAATCAGATAATATAGATGATAGCAATTACCCATTCATCGATCACAAGTCCTTCGCCAACAATCCTAGGGCCATTATCTTCAGGAGGCTTCTTGCGTGCCTCCAGAGCAGCCTCAGCTTCTGCCAGCTGGCGTTTCAGTTTATCCAATTGCTTCAATGACACAATGATATAGTTTATTTAATCAATTATTTAAAATGTTATGCATGAAAAAGAAAAGGTAACAGGGTAAAATGCGGCTTACAGGGCTAGGACGATCAACATCCAAGAAGACAACTCGTAGGATTTTTTCAATAGCGACCTGGTCTTTTTGCTCGTCAAACTGTTCAACGGACATAGTTTAGTTTTTTTAAAATGCAAGAGAAAACTCGACTAAAAAAAAGGAAAACTTTAATAAAGGAAAGTCCCACGAAAGAAAGTAGGTTTGATGAATCGTTGGGAGAGTTAGTTAAAAGTTTTGGCATAATTTTCTAACATCTTCTAGTTAGCTTGAAATCTGGAGCTACTAAGTAAATGGAAGTAGGTTTGGATGATAATGATGATGAATCAGATTAAAAGCCCATCAACTTAAAGTAAACCTATTTATGATAAGCTAGTCCAAAAAGGAACATGGGAGTGACAAAATCTCTAGAATCTATTATTAGTTAGCCAATTGTTACTTACAATTAGAAAGGAACATCATTTTCCAGAAAAATATTTCTCCATTAGAATTACTTAGACCTATTGTTTATAGAAAGAAGTTATTTTCATTTTTTGGAAGAGAACAAAATCAATCTAATACATAAAATGAGTATCTACTCTGATGAAAAGCACAGTGCTAGAAGTTTAAAATATATCTTCTTCTCTATAGATTCTATATCACCAAATGCTACCTGACTAGTTTTACTATATACATTTACGCCTTAAGCGCATTCGAACAAATTTAAAGAAGGTAGAACCACACGGTATGACTCTTTCTACAGATTATAAATTCAGGTATCGCATATTTACCATCTATCAGATAACATTAGCAGATAGATATGCAGTACAAATATTTTGATTAGATCTATACATTCTGCTAATTGGTAGCAAGGAGAAATTAGACAATTTTATTGATTATGAGGAGCTGCCTAAGTGGCATGGAGACAGACACGGACAAGGGTAAAACACGGGTACAGACAACCAACAACAAAATTCTTCAAAAAGTAGGATACGGAGACACCAGAAGATGAATCTTATTATAATATATAATACACATAATATTATAATGATAATTATAGTCATTATTATTATAAAGGGCGAGTTCATATACATGCATACTGCATACATACACAAGCATGCTTATTGAGGCGCGCCCGGGCGCGGGGCGCTTCGGCCTGAGGGAAATGAGCCCCGCATGTGAAGCGGGGCGCTGCACGCAGCGAGGCGCGCGCCTCGCGTGCGCTTCGCACCTGTGTTATGTAGCATACTCTTTCTTCTATTTTTTTAAAATAATTTACATAATTACATATTTATATCATGTAATATACTCTTTCTTACTAGTTGCTAATCTATTTTCATCTTTTCATGTTTAACCTATAAAAATGTAATATACTCTTTCTTACTAGTTGCTAATCTATTTTCATCTTTTCATGTTTAACCTATAAAAAAGAAATAATAATTAGTAATTTAGTATACTTGTTTGTTAATTGTAACTTTCTTCTCTAATTAGCATGCTAACTAGCAAATTATGAACATGTAAATATGTAATTATTACATTCATTCTTCATCTTTTCATGCTAACTAGCAAATATCAATTAAGAATACTAACTAGAAAATTATGAACAGTCATGTTTGTTAATTATATTACTTAGTCTTTTTATGTGACAATTTATAAACATATGCTCATAATTGTTAATCACTTAATTTGATGATTTAAATACATGTTTCTTGCATCTTTTTGTTACTTTAAAAATTCAGTTAGCGTAATTTGATGATTTAAGTTGATATTCTCATAATTTTGGATGTAGGTAACTAATATGTTGCTTATAGGTTTCTGTCTTATGATGTTGGCAAATATTAGTTTGAGTTATGCGCCTTAATTAGTGAGGTGCGCGCCTCGTTGTGCGCCCTGCGCATGGTGCGCGTAAGGGACCTTTGCGCCCCGCATTACGCCTTGTGCCTCGATAACACTGTACACAAGTTCACGTTCATGCATTCAAAAGTCTGACTACTAATTTTTTTGTCACCATACATTTTTATGACTTTGCAAAAGGAAAATGAATAAAAACATATAATGATGACATATATGCTAATTTTTTTGTCACCATACATTTTTATGACTTTGCAAAAGGAAAATGACTTTGCTCTTCACCTTTATAGAAATTGCTGGAAATTATCTAAAGTAGTATTATATTGGTCGATATTTTATAGCATTTTCTGGTACAGCCTATGGTTTACATGAAAATAATCAGATATTTCAAATATGTAATATCAATAAAGAAATGCCTTTGAAGTGTAGGATATATGTCCAAGAAGTATGATTGTGTTTTATGTTAAAACATATATTATATGCGTCCAGACTCATTTGAATGGGTATATGTACATATCACAAGAGTACCAAGGAAGTGTCGGTATCTGGTGGGGGTGTCAGAGTGTCGGGCATGGTCTGCTAGAAGGTTACAAATCCAGGATAGCAGTACCGATGCTACATGGGGAGCTGCTATAAATTAGACTTGGTAGAGAAAATGAACAGCACATGAAGCAAGTTTACCAGAAAAAGAACGTTTTTGATTGCATGCTTTAAAACTTTTAGATGCTACGTACACTACACAAAAAAACATATAATCTAACGGTATGAAACGACAATTAACAACCAGCATCCAGTGACAAGCTTTAACTTATTCAGAAAATGACAACATAAAATTAAAATCCCAAAAACTTTCACTTTAGTTGGCATATTTTTTCTCCACTGTTGGATCATATGTACATTCTTTAAACTCTATCCAGAATACATAATTCAAACCACATTGTCAGAACCAAAAAACATGAAATTATTCACACAAAACCCCATTAGTGGATCAGTTTCTAAATAACCCAATCCATGGTGATCAAATAATGAAAGAAAATGACAAATCCAGTAGCCGACAACTGAATCTTCAACAGCCGATTCCATTTGGAAGTACGAAAACAATCTACCTAAACCTTGGGGCTGAGGCTGTAATAAATGATTTCCAATTTGAGAGGGAAAAAAAAAGAAGGAGAAGCTCAACTTTCGGTTTTATCATGGAGAAGTGATGATGGTTTACTCATTTCCCGTTATTTTTTTTCCTCTTTATGTCAATGAAACAACCAAAAGCATGCCAATTTGCTTAATGCAATTTACATCCATATGCCATCGTAGTACCGTCGGGTTAACAGGCAGGAAGCAATTTCTAACCATAATAATTGTAGAAAGTAAAAGCTCCAACACTAACAACACAAATGAATGCAAAGCAATCAAAATAGCAACTTACCAACTCAGGTACATACTCCATGGGCCCTTTCACCTTCAAGCTCATAATCTTAAACTTAACCTTGCTTTTCTGACTCAGGTACATACTCCATGGGCCCTTTCACCTTCAAGCTCATAATCTTAAACTTAACCTTGCTTTTCTGATCTTGTGGCTTCTCATTATTCTCTTTTCACCTTCAAGCTCATAATCTTAAACTTAACCTTGCTTTTCTGATCTTGTGGCTTCTCATTATTCTCTGGTTGCTCCACAAACTTGAAAACTGTCATCCAGAAACCAAACTAAGATCAAAACCCTCTCCTTGTAAACAGGGAACCTTCGAATGAAGAAAATTTGACCAGGGGGGAAAAAGACAGCGTTACCGGTTGCTATAATACTCTCTCCAGGAGACAATATACCGCCAGGAGGACGCATGAAGCAACTCTTAGGTGCAGTGGTTTGGAACTGAAACCATGAAAACAAAATACTTAAAATTGAGCTGCATCCAAGATTTTTCGTTGTATATCAAATAATGAAATTTGTATGCATATCGAATGCCTACATATTCACACCTTAAATGCTACATGAGACTTGCTCGTATTCTTTATCCTGATCGCACTTCTGACCTGCTTCCCGGGTTCATCTACATCAAACAAACAAATGTAACAAAAAATTAACACAATTTATGAGTGTGAACGCACGTGAATGGATAGGATTGTGAAAGGTGTCTGGGGGCCACGTGAAAAATCACGTTCTCAAGCAAGTGAACAGGGCCACGAATTCAGCTTGAATACCGCGTGGGAGGCTATTGCCCAGCGGGCTTCGAAGAGGTTTCGAAGTGCCTCGTGAAGAGATTGCAGAGGCAGAGTCCTGTGGGGGGCACAAACCGCGTGGACTTTGTTTAGTTCAGCGGACAAAGAGGCCCACCCGAGATTGAGGCTTATAAATACACATTGGTTTCTAGGTTTTTTGTGGGTGTGCGAAGTTGAGGCAGAAGGGAGAAATAGGCAGGCGGCTATACTAGAAGCAGTGCAAGGAGCTGACTTTTGGGTAAAAGAGGGTTTTGTTGCTGCAGAGGGAAAAACGCAGAAGAAAGTTTGGCTGTTGTCCTTTGGGTTTTGGTGGCTGTTCTTTGGGTATTTGGCTGCTGTCCTTTGTGTGAGGGATTTGAGAGATTGTTTGAGGGTTTAGATTGAGTGATTGTAAACCCTAGTTATATCTCTCCCTCTAATAGTAGATCTCCCCCTCCTTACCCCGTGAACGTAGGAAATTTGCCGAACCACGTTAAATTTGTGTTCTTGCCGTGATTTGTAATAGCTTGTAGGTTCCATCGACAAGTCAGTCCTAGAACTAATGAGAGGAAGAGCTGATATCTCACTTTGTTGAGATATTTTACTTTCAGTTCTTGTTTCCTTTGTGAAACAGGAATTCCGTTGTGATCTTACTCTCTTGTTGTGCAGCCGAGGTGCTGTCAAAATTTTCGCTGCGCACAACAAGTGGTATCAGTGCTCCGGATTGGACTTGAGAGCTTGTTCGAAGGATTCGCTGTTGGATTCTTATTTGAAGAGTTAGATCAATAACATGGGAGAGTCAAGCACATAAGGTTCGTCTCTTACGAAGACGATACATAGTTTGAGCATCAATAACATGAAGATTGATGTTCCGAAGTTCGATGGCAAGATCAATTTCGGTTTGTGAAGGTGCCAGGTAATGGATGCGTTGGACGCTCAAAACTTGGAAGAGACTCTTGAGTTGCAAGAGAAACCTGCTGATATGAAAGAAAATATTTGGAAGAAGATGAATAGTAGGGCGTGTGGAGTTATTCGATCATGCTTGACGTCAGATCTTATTTATGATGTGATGAACGAGACGTCGACGAAGAAGATGTGAAAACCACTCAATGAAAAGTATCTTACTAAGAGCATTGAGAATCGACTTTACTTGAAGAAGAGGTTTTACCAGTTCAAGATGAAGATGAGAGTTTACATCAGGGAGCATGTTAACAACTTCACGAAGCTACTTTCAGACATGACCAATGTGGATATCATGATTGAGGATGAAGACAAGACGATGCTACTTTTATGTTCGTTGCCTGAGGATGATTATGGTACCTTTATTCTCACTATGATTAATGGAAGAACTACTGTTAGTTACAAGGAGGTGACCTTAGCGTTGGTGAGTTATGAGTTGAGGAAGAGTGTTGACGAACCCTCCGAGAAGACATCGGGAGATGCATTAGTAGTTCAAGGCCGTGGTTCAAACCGAAGAAGGAGGTCGCAATCTAGAGGGGCACATCGTGAAATTCGTAGGAATTAGTATGCCTTTTGTAAAGAAGATGAACATTAGAAAGCTGAATGCCCAAAGTTAGATCGAACCAAGAAGAATAAGGGGAAAGCTGTACAAGCTTCAGAGGTGAATGTTGTCAAGACTAGTAGCAACAATTCAGATTCGGATTCTTCAGGCTATTCGTTGTCTGCACTACCGTCAGTTTGTGTTGCCAACTCTACAAAGTGGATATTGGATTCGGATGCTTCTTACCACGTTTGTCCTAGGAGGGATTGGTTCTTCAGCTTTCAGAAGTTAGAAAAAGAGGATGTTGTGCTCACCGGTAATGGACATGCATGCTCTATTGGTGGTATTGGTACCGTTCGGATTAGGATGTGTGACGGGATGACTCGGAAGCTGAAGGAAGTGAGATTCGTTCCTCAATTGACGAAGAATATCATTTCGCTTGGAACTTTGGAGGCAGCTGATTATAGGATGATTTTGGTGGATGCACGTTGAAGGTCACATTGGGATCCATGATTGTGATGAAGGACGTCAAAAGGAACAATTTGTATTATTTGCTTGGAAGCACGACAATTGATAGGAAGCTGACGACTTCATCAAATTCCGCTAGACTGTGACATTGTTTGATGCTGGGTTATTTGATTGATAATATCGTGCATAGATTATTGAGGAGTGCTTTGATCTGCAGTTTGAAGTCCTGTGAACCCATTGGTATGAGCAAGAAGACCGATGTGGAGTTTGACACTTCTATCCATCATTTGAGAGGTCTTCTGAGGGGTGTTCATTCAATCATTCAGGGGCCTTTCAAGAGAGCATCATTGGGAGGTAATAGGTATGTGGTTTTCGCAGTTGGGGATTGTTCTAGGTATTGATGGGTTGCAATCAAGTTCCGTTGGTGTGAAGTCCTAGAAGCCCGCAACAGATGGAGAAAATGTATTGATAGAAAGATAACCCGACGTTTTGATTATGATAGGGGTTCTTTGTTGCGTTTGTGCCGAGCTCACGACAATTAGAGACACTTCATTTGTGTGGAAACTTTAAGGCGACGAAACGAGATGACAGATTTGGGGAGCTGTTCCTTTCTGGAGGAGGATAGACATTTGATGTCGAGCATTGGCATTGGTGTGCGGGCTACGACATGTTTGGACCATCTTATGCATAGGTTGCCGACTGTTGCATGTAGAGATTTTGGATCTGGTGGAGCTGCTTCAGATTTTGAGTTGCGTCGGTTATTTGGTTACCCAGCACTTGAACACATTAAGGATGTGAAATTTGATCCGATTGCGCGTTTGAGATCCAGAGGCTCGTTTGGCTATCATTTGGGAGCTTCTGTTTTCGTTCTGAGGAGGTATGTCACATTGGACTCTCGACAGGTGGAGAGTGGTTATCAGATCATTAGGACATCGCAATGGGTGAAGAGTGATGTTACTCCATATTGAATGTATATTACTCCACATACTCCAGGTCATTCTGTATTATTTGGGACTTCAACTGAGGTGACACAGCATGAGGGTCATTCGGTTTCAGATGCAGATGACGTGTTGATTATTTTGAGTGCAGCTGATAGGCGTAGTTTGGACATGGTCATTGGTTCATCTCAGATGGAGATGTTTGGATTGTTTTAATTTGGGACCATTAGAGGTGCTATCAGCCGTAGACTTGATCGTGATGTTGGAGAAAGGTTGCGAACTCTTCTAGTGGATTGAGGTCTTTGGAGGTCATTGGGGTGAACTACGTACGGCTTGATTCCTTGGGCAAGGGGATACGTAGGCAGTCTTTATGATGCAACTAATTTGGTGAGTTGATACCGACGTTTGGAGAGTGATCACATTCTCATTTGGATCTCGACTTGTTGTGGATTGAGTCCGTTGTCGTGAATCGTTTCACTTTGTACTGGACGCAATAAGTGAAACATTTGGTTTAGTTGGTGTCGACTCAGTTTTGTGAAAACTTCGCCGAGGTGGAGAATTGTGAACGCAGGTGAGTGGATAGAATTGTGAAAGGTGTGTGGGGGCCACGTGAAAAATCACGTTCTCAAGCAAGTGAACAGGGCCACGAATTCAGCTTGAATACTGCGTGGGAGGCTATTGCCCAGCGGGTTTCGAAGAGGTTTTGAAGTGCCTCGTGAAGAGATTACAGAGGCAGAGTCATGTGGGGGGCACAAACCACGTGGACTTTGTTTAGTTCAACGGACAAAGAGGCCTACCCGAGATTGAGGCTTATAAATACACATTGGTTTCTAGGTTTTTTGTGGATGTGCGAAGTTAAGGCAGAAGGGAGAAATAGGCAGGCGGCTATACTATACTAGGAGCAGTGCAGGAGTCGACTTTTGGGTAAAAGAGGGTTTCGTTGCTGCAGAGGGCAAAACGCAGAAGAAAGTTTGGCTGTTGTCCCGACTTTTGGGTAAAAGAGGGTTTCGTTGCTGCAGAGGGCAAAACGCAGAAGAAAGTTTGGCTGTTGTCCTTTGGATTTTGGCGGCTGTTCTTTGGGTATTTGACTGCTGTCCTTTGTGTGAGGGATTTGAGAGATTGTTTGAGGGTTTAGATTGAGTGATTGTAAACCCTAGTTGTATCTCTCCCTCTAATAGTAGATCTCCCCCTCCTTACCCGTGGACGTAGGCAATTTGCCGAACTACGTTAAATTTGTATTCTTGTCGTGATTTGTAATAATTTGTAGGTTCCATCGACAAGTCAGTCCTAGAACTGATGAGAGGAAGAGCTGATATCTCACTTTGTTGAGATATTTTGTTTTCGGTTCTTGTTTCCTTTGTGAAACAGGAATTCCGTTGTGATCTTACTCTCTTGTTGTGCAGCCGAGGTGTTGCCGAAATTTCCGCTACGCATAACAATGAGAACTACATAACATGATTTCAGCTTGGAAGCTTTGTAGCCTGTAATTCAACCAACTGGAGCAGATCCGAATCCCTAAGCTAAATGATGCTTTCATCATCAATAAGGAAACAAATAAAAGGATTACTCAAACATTAATTATAAGCTTCTATATCTAAATTTCCACTAAATCTAACAGCTAAATTCCCAGCAAAGCAAAGCTAATAATAAACTTGGACCTTTTATTATTATTAAAAATGGAGGGAAAAAAAGAAAGAAAGAAAAAAAGCAATTTCCTTGATAGCTCCAACGATCTGAATAACCCAAAAAAAAAAAAAAAAAAACTTGCGAACCATTTTCAAAGGAAAAACAGAGAGCACGGGAAATAAAAAAACTCCCATAATTATATAATATAAAACTAAAAATTAGTATGGGCATTTTCATTTGAGAATTAAGCTATTTCTCTACATCAATAGGGAAACAAGTAAAGAGATCAATTAACATTTGATTTAAGCTCGAAATAACCAAATTATGTAAACAAGAAATCAGAGCTTTTGTTACTTAAAAAAACCCAGGTCCCTAAATAGCTCCAAATATCCAAATAATCCAAAAAAAGTTTACTAAAACATGCAAACCATTAAAATATATATTAAAAAAAAAGAGAACTAACATAGGTATCCGAGCTCTGTAACCGATCAACCTCTAAAACATAAACCCCACAAAATAGAATATTTATAATAATAAAAACCATCAGAAAACAGTTGGAAAAAAAAAACCCAACTTCCCAAATAAATAAATAAATAAATAAAATTATTAAAAAAAAATCTCACAAGGAAAATAGAGCTTAGTTGCAGGATCAAGCCGAAGCCTTCTCATCGTCGGCAACAGCGATTTCGCCACCGAAGAAACCGACTTCGGATTCGCACCCGGACCCGGGTTCTTGCTCCGGGTCGACCCGTTAACGCTCCGACCCGAACCGAGCTGGACCCGGTTCCGGGTCAAACTCTGGGTCGCCGAAGAATCCTTATTT